TTGGTCTAATAGGTGTAATGTGCTGTCACGTCCTTGGCTCAGGGGGATGCATTTCCTCTATCACACAGCATGGGAAAAGTCCAACACACACACACACACGTAGTGTGGGGAGAGCCCAACAAAAACCCCAGTGCAGTGTTTACAGAGTAATGCGTGTGACAGGTAACTGTAGACCTGTTTCTAAGTCGGTGGAAGTGTTTCATATGAGAACTGACAGTTATCCAATTGTATTGTGCTCAAACTGGGATGGTTTTTGACAGATGACACAATGGACAAACAGGCTCACGCATACATGTAGGCCTACGCACACACACGTGTACACACACACACACACACACACACACACACACACACACACACACACACACACACACAGGTAACTGCCAAAAGAAAGGAAACACCAACATAAATGAATAGGGCGTTGGGACACCACATCAATGCACCTTGGCATATATTCTACAAGTGTCTTCCACAAGAAATTCTTCCACAAGAAAATCCATAATTTGGTGTTTTGTTGATGGTGGTGGAAAAAGCTGTCTCAAGCGCCGCTCCAGAATCTCCCATAAGTTTTCAATTGGGTTGAGATCTGGTGACTGAGACGGCCATGGCATATGGTTTACATCGTTTTCATGCTCATCAAACCATTCAGTGACCACTCATGCCCTGTGGATGGGGGAATTGTCATCCTATGGAGGCATAGCCATGTTACTCAAAATAATGGCCTGCTCAGCATTTTTATACATGTCCCTAAGCACGATGGGATGTTAATTGCTTAATTAACTCAAGAACCACACCCGTGTGGAAGCACCTGCTTTCAATATACTTTGTATCCCCCATTTACTCAAGTTTTTCCTTTATTTTGTCAGTTTACACACTCACTGAAAATGATATCATTCCTTTTCAGATGTGGACTTGAAGAGGCCTCTTGTGTACTTTGTCCTAAACCATAACGGCCATAATCTCCTATAATAGGCTTCAGTGTAGAAGTCTAAGATCCTGTTCTGTCTACCCTCTCCCTCTCTCTCTTTCTCTCGCTCCCACGTTTCTCTCTCTCTCTCCCTCTCTCTGTCTATCTCTCCCTGTCTCATATGTTTCTCTCTTTTAGAGTGTCTAGCCTTGGTCACAGTATCGTTGAAGCAGCAAAATACAATTCAAATTAATAAAAGCTACTTGATAAAAGCTGTGCATGAGTGGAGGATGAAATAACACCAAGACACAACAAACATTCACATAACTCAACAGTATTCTTAGGTTACTGGGCATAGGAACAGGCTGGGTATGATTCAATAAGGTTATTATTACTTAATGACGTTTACTTTAATCAGTAGGACAGAGCGTGGGAGCTGGATTTTGTCTAGACCATGCATTTTTCTTTTGTACAATCAGATATAAAATAATGCCTACAAATACAATCCAATACCCCCAATACATATACAAGTCATAACCGCAATAGAAATGTGAGCATTTCCATTGGTTTTACTGTTTGTGTTATGTATAAATGATTTTGATTCACAGAGGCCTAGATTTGGGGTTGTATAAATGCAGAACACGCCACAAGCAGATGCAGAATGCTGTGGCATAGTGTCAGTGTGGGAATGATGCAGAGCCACATTCAGATGCTCTTTATCTTTCTGCTGCAGAGTGAAATGTAGAGGAATGTAAGCTGTGCATTTACAGGGGCCCTGAGGAAATATAATACTCCTGCTTTGTGCCTGTACTAATGTAATTATGCATAGTTCCCGCTTTGGCTAAAGATTGCTATCCCCCACTAACATAAACATTTGTCCGCAAGAACACCTTTTCATTCTAATATGACCGTTTTTTAATGTGTGTTTTTTCCCAAGTAAAACCATGGTGAAATGGTAAAATCATTTTTTTGAATGACATAAAATGTTCATTTAATTTTTATCACATTTAGGATGCACACGCAGATGCACACACACGCACACATACCACACCACATTTTGGAATACAGGGTCTGTGATCTGAGTTTCAATGAAACATCTTGTTTGATATGTTTTGAAGATGGACATGAAATAATGTCCAAATCACCAGCGGGTGCAACATCAAACAGACCCAAATGAAAACACTATAATGTCTGCTCGGACATTGGCTTATTGCACCTTTATTTGCGACCTGGGCCTGTGGAAACAGCTCCAGGATTGTCTGATTATAGATTAAAGATGGGTTGATTAGTCAAGTTCTTTCATCTCTACCAAACTTCGACAACTTCTCATTTGTTACACGAAGTGTCATCATTGATATGCTGTATCATAGTCTAACCAAAAGTAATACCCAGTTGGAAAGCTGGAAAGCTTGATGGCTAGGAGGGTGAATGGTGACATCATTGAGGGTCCCTGTTCTTTTATCAATGGCATGTGACTTTGTCCCAATAGGGAATGAAGCTGCACCCTAACCCACACCCCTCACAGAGTATATTACAGCATTACCCCTCCTCCCACTCATCATGGGAAAATAACATCAGTCACCAGTATATTGGACGGTATTACAATGCACTTCTCCTGAAGGTGATAAGGTGAGAAAGCTAATATAACAGACAGATTACTTAGCGATAATGAACCAATATATATGCATCATGCAAAAAACAACCCCTAAAGCCTTGGGAGAGAAGGGATGCCCATATTTTTCATTCATCATTATTTTGCCTGAGCTACGAACACATATAGATGGAGGATTATGACACAAAATTGACACCGTCACGTCTTGTACCCTTTCGTGTTGATATTGGTGTTAGAAAGGAGAATTTGATTGTGTGCCACTGATTTAACTGTTTATGATAAAGCTGCCTCTTAAAGGGATACTTCGGGATTTGGGCAATGAAGCCCTTTATCTACTACCCCAGTCAGATGAACTTATGGATACCATTTTTATGTCTCTGTGTACAGTATGAAAGAAGTTAGAGGTAGTTTCGCGAGCCAATGCCAACTAGCGTTAGCATGCTAGCAGATACCAATAGACTTTCAATCATTGCGCCAACGGTAGTTAGCAATTGCGCTAGTAAGCAACTTCCTTCAAACCGCACGCAGAGAAATAAAAAATGGTATCCACAAGTTCATCGGACTCTGGGGAAGTAGATAAAGGGCCTCATTGCCAAAATCCCAAAGTATCCATTTAAGAGGCAGCTTTATCATAAACAGTTAAATCAGTGGCACACAATCAAATTCTCCTTTCTAACACCAGCAACAACACGACAGGATACAAGACGTGACAGTGTCAATTTTGTGTCAGAATCCTCTATCTATATGTGTTCATAGCTCAGGCAAAATAATGATGAATGAAAAATATGGGCCTCCCTTCTCTCCCAAGGCTTTAGGGGTTGTATTTTTACAAAGTCCTGAAGTATCCCTTTAAGACAACAAGACAAGGTCCATTCCTTTCCAAATGAACTGCAAGTCCGAGAGAGCCTGCTTGTACTGTATGCATGGTCCTGGTCCCTGGTCATCAGCTTTGCATTTCATCTGATTTTCATTACATCTGAAGTGAAAGTGAAGCCAAGTTTCCATATAATATAACAGACCGGTTCAGTGTCTCCCGGCCGGGGCCTGTTGGATCTGGATAGCTCTGTGTAAACGGAGAGGCTGACATTCAAACACCGCGGCAGGGAGCCATGGTGGACTTAGCAGCTCTGCTACGCTCTGCCCTGCCTTGGCCACGGGCCCCGCTCCTTTCTCTCTCCCTCCCTCCAACGTCTGACAGAGAATTGGCATCTCACATGGTCTAATGAAGTGTATGTCACAGTTAAATGCGGAACTGAGCAGACGTACGTTGTCTACTAAGAACAACTGGGTGGTCAGCTTGAAGCAGGACCTACTAGGCAATAATATTTGAATGAAAGTTATTGAGCAAGATCAGTCAGATAACTCTCCCTTTGACATTTCTCTCCATGGCTACAGGTCAGCTTAGCTCTCAGGTCATCTTGCTCCGTGTCTGGACATGAAAGAAAGAGAACAGTCAGATATTTGCAAACAAGAAAAAATCTCACATTTATTTGATATCACAAGAGTTGAATTTTTATATCAGCTGACAATGGGCTCTTACAAAATAAATGAAATGAATCTAAACCATGCTGAAACAAGTCACACTACCCAACCATTTTTCTTTTTCAAATGTTCAATAATTCTGTTAATAAATTAATGTCAAAGGCTGAAATATGCTCGTAAAACTTGAAATATCGCATTGACACAATTTTTATTTTATTTTCTTTCAAGTAAAATAAATTACACAATGATCCAATTCACTCCAAATCTGTGCATGGCATGGTGTTAACAACAAATATTACTGGCAAAACTCTTAATTCATGAAAGCAAAAAGCACTTCACAAGCAGAGATGTGAGTATGGTTTCTTATGGGAATTTCAAAAAAGTATATATTTTTTATGTTCAAACATACTACGAGTCAAGTGAGAGGAAAAAAGACATTTGCACCGTTTGAGCAACCTGTTTTGAGGACAATCTCCTCAACATTGAAAGGTTGTATAATTCGTTGCCACAACATTTGTATTCTTAATTTGTTTACACTGTGGTACAGCAAAATATATTTTATTTAGCTGTTAATCTGACAACAGTTAAATGTGCAATAGAGAAAATATAATGCCTGAGTCTGAATTAGTGGTTCTTCATTTGACATTCCTCAATGTGGAGTGGAATGACTCTAGGTTCTGGAGTGGAATGACTCTAGGTTCTGGAGTGGAATGACTCTAGGTTCTGGAGTGGAATGACTCAACAGATCCTCATTTTGGAAACTATTCCAAGAACACTTCACCAGTGTTCCTAAAGTTCTAAACCTGGAGTTTGAAACCATGTTTTTTTTCTTCTTCAGTATAATACAAATGCAGGCAGAAAAGGGATGGCGCCAGACACTTGGAGTGGTCTGTGCATTTCCTTCTCTGCAGTCCCACAGCAGAGCGGAGCAGTTGAAGTCCAAAGGACATTTGTGTGTGACCGAGTGTATGTGTGAAAAAGTCATCCATCTCCTGCCTACCACCCACAAACATTTAACTTCCTCCTCTGACGGGTCATTAGGAGTGCAGAGGAGGACTGGGAGGAGGACCGGTGAGGGCTGGCAATAGTCTTGACATCAACCAAAGCCCACACACATACAGTACATATGTTCAAACCTGTGCAAAAACACCAGAGAGGTGCTTCCTCTCCTTCCTCCATCCACCTGCTCAGAGGCTGGTAATGAGCTGCATCTGTCCATCCTGGGGGCCCTCTCCCTCAGGTTCACAGTCCTCAGCGCTGGGTGTCACAATGCACCCATCGCTGGTGCCCCGGTTTATGTGGTAGTAGGACAGGGGCTGGGGCCCGTCGCCCAGCTCAGGCATGCTCTTATGGTACAGGTCCTCCCCCTCGCTCCTGGGGGAAGGGGACAGGTCGTCGGCTTCATCGGCGGGGTAGGGTGAGACCGAGGGGGAGGCTGAGGGAGAGTCTCTCAGGTTGGGCATGCTGGTGTACAGGGAGTCCCTGTTATTGTTGGGTGACTGGGAGTCCCTGTCCTCCGTCGCCCCCACTGTCTTGGAGCCGTGGCCCCCAGGCCCCTCCACAACCCTCCTGGGGGCCTTGTGGGCGCTGTAGAGCAGGGAGTGAGTCCTCTGGGGCAGGAGGGGGGCCTCTAACGCCTCCTTGTGGTGGGGGTGCAGCAGCAACTCCAGGGTGGGGTGACCGCCTCCAATTACCCCGACTATACTACCTCTCTGGGGGGACGAAGCCTCAGCATGGTTCGCCACTATGGCATCATCCTTGCTGCCGCATCCACCCCCACAACCCCTATCCCTGTCCACAGTCACCCTGGTCTGGGGAGGGGCCCGGTCCCTGTCCCTCTCCCTGCTATCCCGGTGGGGGTTGTGGCCCTTGGGGGGCCCGCGGGGCCTCAGGTTGTTGTGGACCAGCTCAGAGATGATCATCTTCTCGAAGGCAGCATCGTCCAGGCTGAGGCCCCCCTGGTCCCCCGGGCCGCAGACCACACCCCCAACCACGCCCCCGCCCACAACGTCCTCATAGTCATCGTCATGGTCACGCAGGGAGTAGCAGTTGTTAAAGTTTCCGTTGAGGGGGAGGGTGTCCATGGCACTGATGTCCCTGCTGTGGGTCAGAGAGTGCTGCCCTGCAACGAGAGGTACGACACCTGGATTAGATATCACTGATAAATGTTTATAATCAATATTAAATCACAATCAATACAATACAGTTTAATACTGCTCAGGACACTTCACTGTTAAGTGTTTGCAATAGTTGCTATCTCGATATTTTATGTTTATATTTTCATATTTATACATAATATACAGTTCAAGAGGTTGAAATTTGAAGTCGTTTTCTATCATGTATGTTTTCATTTTGCATCATCATGTCTGACATTATCATAGCCAATACGGAAGTTATCCTGAACAATATTCGACAAATGAGAAAGGAAAAAAAAAGAAAATTACACATCCAGCAACAACACACTGATAATGTAGCTAGCCAGGAAGCAACGACATAGCAAGATCAACATAACATCATAACACAGGTTATGAGAGAAAAAAATGCTAAGGTGGAGGTAGAAAAGAGACAATGAATAAAACATTCATTCCAGCCTTAAAAAAAAGAAAGCAGGAGTAATGTGGAACACAGACGCACGGCCACTTCGTTCACCCAGTGGGGCCACACAACCACGATACAGGCACGGTGCAATGACTCACTTTGCCACCACTCACATCAAGTGTGTCTGCTCAGGCTATCAGGCCTAAGAACTGCTGATATGCAACAAAAAAAAGTAAAACATATGCTTTTTATTGCGGCATAAAAAACAAGACAATCACTGAAATAAGACAAAAGAGGAAGGAGGCCTGGATTCAGTCGGTCCCTCTCAGATTTGGGTCCCCTTAAAAAGTTAACGATTTAACTCTCATTTGCAGATAATTTTTTTTGAGAAAGCTCTAAAGAAATAATCCTGAGAACAACTGAATCCAGGACTTGGCAGGTGGAGGGGTTTCAGCAGCAAGCAATCACAGCCTCTTTACAGTCTAAAATGGCAGGTACACCATCATATCATTACTCTCTCTTTCTCTGCTTAAAATGTGATTGAGGGATGATTTGATTTAACAGGTTTCTATCTATCTACTTCTCCCAGATGGGAAGGAAATACTTTGTACACAATAGATCACATTGATAACCTCTTGTGAAGCCCAAAGATTGGCTAGAAGCCTTTCGGCAGAAGATGAAGAAGAGAGGGAATAGGAGGATCAGTCTAAATGAGCAAGGGAAGAGGGTGAAAAAAAAGAGCCGTATTTTGGCGGTTAGTTACTGCCTCGCTTCAAGCTCCGCGAAAGGGGGGAGATTGAAGTTTTAGATTTCAGTTAAATGAGTCTGAATAGACCTGACTGTGAGATGGAGGAATAAAATTGGAGCTGGGCTGTGACACACACTGCTGTGGAGATAAGGACCGTCTTTTTCTCTCTTTAGTAGGGAGAAAAGAGCGTAAAAACAGACATCAAATAATTTCTACAAAAATAGTGAAAGAAGGGAACAGGGATGGGGGATGGGGGAATGGAGGGATGGGAGGATGGAGGGATGGAGGGATGGGAGGATGGAGGGAGGAGGGATGGAGGGATGGGAGGATGGAGGGATAGAGGGATAGGGGGATAGAGGGATAGAGGGATAGAGGGATGGGGGGATGGAGGGATGGAGGAGGAGTGTGAGGGCAAAGAAAGGGGGCTAGAAAAAAATATGGAAATAGCGTGAAAACAGCCCCACTGCGGGATTTGCATTTGTTTATGCATGGGCAGTCATTTTAATGCAGACAGATATTGTCTACTGGGAGGGGGTAAGTGATGTGAAACGAATTTAACTGGACACCGCCAGAGCCAGACAGCTGCATTCTGGGAAAGATTCCAACGGAAATTCGCCCAAGATGTTCTCTTTACCGTTACTGCATCAAATTAACATCTGCACAGTATTACCTTTGTATTAATACACTTAATAGAAGCCATGTTGATCCTTCAGGATGGGGAGGATCATCTATAACGACTATAGCAGAAGACATTAGAAATAAGCTAACATTTTCAACTTGAGCCTCTTCAATACTTTACACTTGGGTGATTCATCATCATATAACTAGGCCTGGGAATTGCCAGGGACTTCACGATATTATCACGATACTTTGGTGCCAATACGATATGTATTGCGATTCTCACGATTCTATATGTATTGCGATTTGATACCGTGATTTCATTGCGATTCAATATTCCTAACATATTTCTCCCCATATGTCTGCTGCAGAGGGACAAGAGAGAGCCATGTGAAAATGAGTTTTGATCAGTTCTGGTGCAGGTATAGCAAAATAGCACAAAAATAATATTGCGATATTGTCAAAATGATACGATGCAATACTGTGGGGGAAAAAAGTATTTAGTCAGCCACCAATTGTGCAAGTTCTCCCACTTAAAAAGATGAGAGAGGCCTGTAATTTTCATCATAGGTACACGTCAACTATGACAGACAAAATGAGGGGAAAAAAATCCAGAAAATCACATTGTAGGATTTTTTATTAATTTATTTGCAAATTATGGTGGAAAATAAGTATTTGGTCACCTACAAACAAGCAAGATTTCTGGCTCTCACAGACCTGTAACTTCTTCTTTAAGAGGCTCCTCTGTCCTCCACTCGTTACCTGTATTAATGGCACCTGTTTGAACTTGTTATCAGTATAAAAGACACCTGTCCACAACCTCAAACAGTCACACTCCAAACTCCACTATGGCCAAGACCAAAGAGCTGTCAAAGGACACCAGAAACAAAATTGTAGACCTGCACCAGGCTGGGAAGACTGAATCTGCAATAGGTAAGCAGCTTGGTTTGAAGAAATCAACTGTGGGAGCAATTATTAGGAAATGGAAGACATAGAAGACATGGAAGACACTGATAATCTCCCTCGATCTGGGGCTCCACGCAAGATCTCACCCCGTGGGGTCAAAATGATCACAAGAACGGTGAGCAAAAACCCCAGAACCACACGGGGGGGACCTAGTGAATGACCTGCAGAGAGCTGGGACCAAAGTAACAAAGCCTACCATCAGTAACACACTACGCCGCCAGGGACTCAAATCCTGCAGTGCCAGACGTGTCCCCCTGCTTAAGCCAGTACATGTCCAGGCCCGTCTGAAGTTTGCTAGAGTGCATTTGGATGATCCAGAAGAGGATTGGGAGAATGTCATATGGTCAGATGAAACCAAAATAGAACTTTTTGGTAAAAACTCAACTCGTCGTGTTTGGAGGACAAAGAATGCTGAGTTGCATCCAAAGAACACCATACCTACTGTGAAGCATGGGGGTGGAAACATCATGGTTTGGGGCTGTTTTTCTGCAAAGGGACCAGGACGACTGATCCGTTTAAAGGAAAGAATGAATGGGGCCATGTATCGTGAGATTTTGAGTGAAAACCTCCTTCCATCAGCAAGGGCATTGAAGATGAAACGTGGCTGGGTCTTTCAGCATGACAATGATCCCAAACACACCGCCCGGGCAACGAAGGAGTGGCTTCATAAGAAGCATTTCAAGGTCCTGGAGTGGCCTAGCCAGTCTCCAGATCTCAACTCCATAGAAAATCTTTGGAGGGAGTTGAAAGTCCATGTTGCCCAGTGACAGCCCCAAAACATCACTGCTCTAGAGGAGATCTGCATGGAGGAATGGGCCAAAATACCAGCAACAGTGTGTGAAAACCTTGTGAAGACTTACAGAAAACGTTTGACCTGTGTCATTGCCAACAAAGGGTATATAACAAAGTATTGAGAAACTTTTGTTATTGACCAAATACTTATTTTCCACCATAATTTGCAAATAAATTCATAAAAAATCCTACAATGTGATTTATTTTTCTCATTTTGTCTGTCATAGTTGACGTGTACCTATGATGAAAATTACAGGCCTCTCTCATCTTTTTAAGTGGGAGAACTTGCACAATTGGTGGCTGACTAAATACTTTTTTTCCCCACTGTATATCGTAAAAAATAATATCCTGATATATAACTGTATAGATTCCCCCCCCCCCCCCCATCACTACATATAACACTACTTGACATCTGTCTGTTAGGGAGTTACACCCAAACCAGTCAACATCTATTTAGTTACACCCAAACCAGTCAACACCTAATATTTAATGTCCTTCAACTGTTAGTCATTAATAATGTTTGAGTCCTTTCATTTTCTTGAACTGTGAGTCATTAATGATAGTATCTGTAGTGTTTGAGGATGCAGGTATGTGGAGTATCTCCCTTATGATTGTCTGTGTCTTTCATGTATTTCCACATGATTCATCTGCCTGTAGGGAGGACTGACTGATGATGAGTCTTGGCAGGTCATGGGGATGATCACACTGACGCATACAATAACCTGTTAATTTGACTCGGTCACTGTAAATGTATTAACACCGCTCAACTAGAATAAGTTATCTTATACTGTCATTACTTATGATGACTGTACATTTTAATATCTCAAAAGCATTGTTTGCTTGCACATGGCGTGGGGGTATTTATAGATTCTAGTTAAATGTGTGGTGTTTTGATTATGGTCATTGGTATATTGTTTGAAATGAAATAGCAATGATATCATGAAATGTCTGACTTCTGTGACAATCTATTTATGTTAGGTTCGGAACTCTTTCCAGCCTCCTCCAGAAGAAAAAGGCAGATGATTTAAGTGTTCTCATTGAGAAGCGAGCGAATTTGGAGACCTGCCAAATCAGAGGGAGCGACTACAGTTTCTGTAAGTTCTCCTGTATCCTTCCCTTCCCTTCTTCCTCCCTCCCTCCCTCCACACATTCATCCTAGCGCTGCTTCCTTTCCTTCCATCCTCTTTCATCACCAAATGCCTCTGCATATCTGAGGGGTATAATTCTGCCTGCATTGCGTCTTGTACTCCTGTGTTTTTTATTCCTTTATATGCCTTCCTCCTTTAGTCTGATAGAGAGCATATCTGGTTCACGCTACACAGACAGTGACATAATTCAAATCAAACTGGGATCCGGGTTTGTAGTCAAGACATTTTTTCATAATGCCATTGAACCTGATGTAAATGTAGCATCAACAGGTGTACGAGGAGAATGGAAAATAATAGGATATCATATATAAATGGAATAAATGCATCCCATTTCCTATAAATGACTGTTGGAGTAGTCTAGATAAGATAGCACTGACCTTTCTCAACCTTATCTGGTTCTGTGTAACAAAGCACAGCTTGTATACTAGATAAAGATGAAATAAAGACAGGTGCTAATGAGAGAGGAAAGAAAGGGCAACCCTACATTCTACAGCAAGACTTCTCAACACCTGCTGTGTAGGGGCCACAACCCCACAAAGAACCGCTATTACAATTAGTTTCAAACACACACTAAAACAAAACAAATGTGTGTCCAAATGGCACCCCATTCCCTATATAGTGCACTCATTTTGACCAGAGTCAAACTTGTCAAGGTAACACACTACATAGGGAATATGGTGCCATTTCAGACACAGAGAAAGACAGATCTATATAGAGAGAAAGGTTAGAGATCACCATGCACCTGGTGGGTGAAAGGCCGGAGGGGAGGGGGTGTTGCACACCACAGTCTCAGCCAACAGGTTGTTATAGGGGTTGTTAGGGTCGTGGGCTCGAAGCAGAGGGTTAGTTAGAAGGTAGTTGCCAGTCATCCCTGTGAGAAGGAAGGAAGAAGTGAGGGAGGAAAGAAAGAAAGGCAGGAGAGAGAGAAAGAGGAGAAAAAGAGAAAGAGAGGGTATGTTAAGAGGTAGATGTCAAACCCTGCAAGAACGGTGGGAGAGAGAGGGAGTGAGAGCGTTAGAGAGGATGTGAGGGAGGAGAAATACTATTATATGATTATATTTTATTCTATTAAAAAGACGAGGCCAGAGAGTAAAGAAGGGAAGAAGGCGATAGAGAGAAAGCGACCAGAGGAAAAAGTATATCTGTACAGGAGTGCAGCAGTGTGCTTCTTCAGTAAATACAATGTGCTGGTTAGTTGGGTAGTTGATGTTTAAATCATGTCTACACACCGCATTCTCCAGATTTAATTTCACAGAACAGCAAGCAATAAATATTGTCTGCAACAAGTGAGTCTGTCTCTATAAACAAAGCCACTTTCTGTACCACCAGACAGTACCAAGCACTCATGTACTAACAACATTGTCAAGTACTTTCTCTGTTAAACAAATATTTGACTAATTCATAAATACTACTGTAGGGACTACATTCTAAAGTGGGCGTCAAAATATTCAGTATGATTACAGTAATGATAAGAGGCCATCTGAACTCTCTGAAGGTCTGTTCCAGGTGCCTAGGAGTCAAAAGAAGAATACTGGAAGAGATTATTTTTTGGGCACCATGATGTTTTAATAAACATCTTTATTTTGCATTTAAGCCTCAGTTTTGGATATATTCATTTTTTCGATAGTATGCGGGTCTCCATCTCTTCCAGTATGATTACAGTAGCCATATAAAACAAGACCATACAATCAAACTGATGATGTTGGGACTACAAACCGGTATCTATTGACATCACTTTGCTCCCACATAATGTAAGTGTGCATAATGCATCTATAAGTATAATGTATAATAGCAATGTCCAGTCATTGAAAACAAATCTCTTATATCTCATTTCTTATCAGTGGCGATTAAGAGTTAGCTTAATGCTGACACTGATAAGGAGGATAGAAGTTAAAAAAACTATTTAGCAGTGCAACTCTGAGCTGTATCATGTTAAACCTCTCTGTGACCTCTCCCTCACTCTCTTCCTCTGTCAGTTTCTCTCTTTTCCCTCTCTCTACCTCTCCTCGTTCTCTCTCTATCTCCCCCTCTGTCTGTCTCAGTCTTTTTCTCTCTCGTCTCTCCCTCCCTCCCTCCCTCCCTCGCTCTCTCGCTCACTCTGTCTCATGGACGAAAATCATCATGAGACCAGGCCAGGTTGAGGATGAGTCAGTGCACAGCCAGCAAAGCTCCTGTAGCCAGCCAGTCAGGGTCGCCCAGAGTTGAACACACACACGACACCAGCTTCTCATCACTACCACTTGAAGCCAGACTAAGTAGCTATGTAATACTTCTCTCATCCAACAAGTAGCAGCTGTGCAGATTGACCACCAAAAGACACATTGACGTGAACTTTGACTCATCGTAAAACATTTGTTCAGCATGTATTTGTTTACTTGCTGCTGAAAAACATGTATTTTATTTGTTGTTTATGATTTATTGTAATATAATAAGGACAGACACAAGCACATGGACAATATTGAGTAAACATTAATAATTTTACCAAAAAGCTGCCTCCTTGAATGAAGAGCATCATCATTGACTGGTTAAATAAAGGTTAAATAGATACAAATAAAATCAGCATCTGCCAGATTTATTCAGGCACTTGTTGTCTATTCATGGTCCCATAACAGACAGAACACAGCACGTGTAGATAGAGACAGAGGGGCCAGAAGGGACAGAGGGGACAGAGGGGCCAGAGGGGCCAGAAGGGACAGAGGGGCCAGAGGGGACAGAGGGGCCAGAAGGGACAGAGGGGCCAGAAGGGACAGAGGGGCCAGAGGGGCCAGAAGGGACAGAGGGGCCAGAGGGGCCAGAGGGGCCAGAAGGGACAGAGGGGCCAGAAGGGACAGAGGGGCCAGAGGGGCCAGAAGGGACAGAGGGGCCAGAAGGGACAGAGGGGCCAGAGGGGCCAGAAGGGACAGAGGGGCCAGAGGGGCCAGAAGGGACAGAGGGGCCAGAGGGGCCAGAAGGGACAGAGGGGCCAGAGGGGCCAGAGGGGCCAGAAGGGACAGAGGGGCCAGAAGGGACAGAGGGGTCAGAGGGGCCAGAAGGGACAGAGGGGCCAGAAGGGACAGAGGGGCCAGAGGGGCCAGAAGGGACAGAGGGGCCAGAGGGGCCAGAAGGGACAGAGGGGCCAGAAGGGACAGAGGGGCCAGAAGGGACAGAGGGACCAGAGGGGCCAGAGGGGACAGAGGGGCCAGAGGGGACAGAAGGGACAGAGGGGACAGAGGGGCCAGAGGGGACTTTGGGGCCAGAAGGTACTTTGGGGTCAGAATGGACTGAGGGGCCAGTCTTACCCTGGTGGTTGAGGGTGGAGGTGCTGTTGATGTCTCCGGAGATGAAGGAGGATTCTGACTGCTTCCTCACTGTGTCGTTCCACATCCTCCTGATACGACTCTGTAGGAGGTAAACAACAACACACATATTAGAATAACCTGAAACACTGATGTCCCTTCCCTTTACATGCTATCATGCAACAGAAAAAGACCACAAGAAAAATGCTCTTTAAAATAAAGGCAGCAAGCAAACACAATGGATTACAAGAACTACCTCCAAAACAAAATGGATACATGCGAAATGACACCCTATTCCCTATACAGTGCACTACTTTTGACCAGGGCCCATAGGACTCTGGTCAAAAGTAGTGCACGATATAGGGAATACACTGGTATCCTTTCCTGTTCCCTCTACATGCTAGCATGCAACTGGAGAACAAGGCGTAAGCTCTCCCTTTCACCCTCAGTGGAAAGAAAGAAAGCTATTTCACACAAGAGGATTAGAATGACCAGCTTTAACTCAACACTAACTCTCTTCCCTCTATGTGTTAGCATGCAACAGGAGAGAAAGACCACAACTGGCCTTTCCCTCCTACGCCGCAAACCAATTTCCCTCTGAGCAAATAAAGCTACTGAAGTGTACTACAGTACTGCTCTCAATACAAATAAAGGGTTGAGAGAAGGTTATATTCAAGTGTTCATGCTGGTCCTTGGCATGCTAGCATGCAACAGGAGAAAGACTAGAAAAAGAACCTTCGTTTCCCTCTCCATAGAAAGAAAGGATAGAAAAAAGGTATATATAATCCAACTTCCCGCTGCTGTACTGTACCTAGTATGTACTGTACCTGTGTGGCGGAGGAGTAGCGTGCGGTGGATCGGGATGTGGCTGTCTTGGCCGAGCTGTGGGACCCTTCAGAAGGCAGACCTCCGCAGCACTGGGACTGACGGAAGCATTTGCTGTACTCTTTCCGGACCTGCAGCGGGCACAAGATCAAGGCAGAGCGACATAAACACAATGAGACACCACAACAGTGACAGTCTACTCCAGTGAGAGATAGAGAGAGGAAAGCTTCCTTGTAAAGCCACAAAATCCATATCTTTATCAAATGCCACCCAGCCGACAGCAGTAGTTCAAATGGCGTCTCTGGAGATAGGCCTATCACGTCTGCCATGATGACACATTAAAATATCATAGGGGGAGGGGGATTTTTCAGGGGGACAAATATGACACAGTAGCGTTGCTAATATCAGAGATAGTCTTAAATGTCAAGAGACAGCAGACATTGAAATGAAAAGTATATATTTTGCATTAGACTTAAGTACACATACAGTGGGCAGAACAAGTATTTGATACACTGCCGATTTTGCAGGTTTTCCTACTTACAAAGCATGTAGAGGTCTGCAATTTTTATCATAGGTACACTTCAACTGTGAGAGATGGAATCTAAAACAAAAATCCAGAAAATCACATTGTATGATTTTTACGTAATTAATTTGCATTTTATTGCATGACATAAGTATTTGATACATCAGAAAAGGAGAACTTAATATTTGGTACAGAAACCTTTGTTTGCAATTACAGAGATCATATGTTTCCTGTAGGTCTTGACCAGGTTTGCACACACTGCAGCAGGGATTTTGGCCCACTCCTCCATACAGACCTTCTCCAGATCCTTCAGGTTTCTGGGCTATCGCTGGGCAATACGGACTTTCAGCTCCTCCAAAGATTTTCTATTGGGTTCAGGTCTGGAGACTGGCTAGGCCACTCCAGGACCTTGAGATGCTTCTTACGGAGCCACTCCTTAGTTGCCCTGGCTGTGTGTTTCGGGTCGTTGTCATGCTGGAAGACCCAGCCATGACCCATCTTCAATGCTCTTACTGAGGGAAGGAGGTTGTTGGCCAAGATCTCGCGATACATGGCCCCATCCATCCTCCCCTCAATACGGTGCAGTCGTCCTGTCCCCTTTGCAGAAAAGCATCCCCAAAGAATGATGTTTCCACCTCCATGCTTCACGGTTGGGATGGTGTTCTTGGGGTTGTACTCATCCTTCTTCTTCCTCCAAACACAGCGAGTGGAGTTTAGACCAAAAAGCTATATTTTTGTCTCATCAGACCACATGACCTTCTCCCATTAATCCTCTGGATCATACAGATGGTCATTGGCAAACTTCAGACGGGCCTGGACATGCGCTGGCTTGAGCAGGGGGACCTTGCGTGCGCTGCAGGATTTTAATCCATGATAGCGTAGTGTGTTACTAATAGTTTTCTTTCAAACTGTGGTCCCAGCTCTCTTCAGGTCATTGACCAGGTCCTGCAGTGTAGTTCTGGGCTGATCCCTCACCTTCCTCATGATCATTGATGCCCCACGAGGTGAGATCTTGCATGGAGCCCCAGACCGAGGGTGTTTGACCGTCATCTTGAACTTCTTCCATTTTCTAATAATTGCGCCAACAGTTGTTGCCTTCTCACCAAGCTGCTTGCCTATTGTCCTGTAGCCCATCCCAGCCTTGTGCAGGTCTACAATTTTATCCCTGATGTCCTTACACAGCTCTCTGGTCTTGGCCATTGTGGAGAGGTTGGAGTCTGTTTGATTGAGTGTGTGGACAGGTGTCTTTTATACAGGTAATGAGTTCAAACAGGTGCAGTTAATACAGGTAATGAGTGGAGAACAGGAGGGCTTCTTAAAGAAAAACTAACAGGCCTGTGAGAGCCGGAATTCTTACTAGTTGGTAGGTGATCAAATACTTATGTCATGCAATAAAATGCAAATTAATTACTTACAAATCATACAATGTGATTTTCTGGACTTTTTGTTTTAGATTCCGTCTCTCACAGTTGAAGTATACCTATGATAAAAATTACAGACCTCTACATGCTTTGTAAGTAGGAAAACCTGCAAAATCGGCAGTGTATCAAAATACTTGTTCTCCCCACTGTATATACTTTTACCTTATTTATTTGGGAAACTAGTCATTAAAAAGGTTATTTCCCACTTCTGGTGAGGAAAGCTTGTCTTATATTCAAACATTGATGTACAAAATGCAGTGCTTTATTGGAGTCTGCAGCATTATCTTCATATAGCCCATATGTATTAAATCCTTACCTTTTTCTGGAGGAGACAGTGGAAGATAAAGATGAACATCCCTTGCAGAGTGTTGAAGATGGTGAAGAGGTACGCCATGACGACGGAGGACTCGTTGAGGAAGAACAGACCAAAGGACCAGGTCAGGCCCAGGAGAAAGAGCAGGGCGAACGCTCCAAGCACCCAGGATCTGAAACACACAAATATTGATCACAATCATTAATAATAACTGAAGCAACTGCCTTGATTTAATCTTTCATTCATTTGAAGTTGCTCTCTGTTCGGTTCCTAAGGATTTGTTCTGTGGGGAAAGAAGGAGGCCGTGTTATTATCGCTCTCTATTTCTCCTTCTGGACATGTTTATACACTGAACAAAAATATAAACGCAACATGCATCAATTTCAAACATTTTACTGAGTTACAGTTCATTAATCAGTCAATTTAAATAAATAAATTAGGTCCTAATCTATGGATTTCACATGACTGGGAATACAGATATGCATGTATTGGTCCCAGATAACTTTTTTTTTAAAGGTTGGGGCGTGGATTAGAAAACCAGTCAGTATCTGTTGCGACCACCATTTGCCTCATTCAGCGCAACACATCTCCTTCGCATAGTGTTGATCAGGTTGTTGATTGTGGCCTGTGGAATGTTGTCCCATTCCTCTTCAATGGCTGTGCGAAGTTGCTGTATATTGGCGGGAACTGGAACAGGCTGTCGTACACGTCAATCCAGAGCATCCCAAACATGCTCAATAGGTGACTGATGTCTGGTGAGTATGCAGGCAATTGAAGAACTGGGACATTTTCAGCTTCCAGAAATTGTGTACAGATCCTTGCGACATGGGGCTGTGCATTATCATGCTGAAACATGAGGTGAGGTGGCGGATGAATAGCATGACAATGGGCATCAGGATCTCGTCATGGTATCTCTGTGCATTCAAATTGCCATCGATTAAATGCAATTGTGTTCGTTGTCCGTAGCTTATGCCTGCCCATACCATAACCCCACCGCCACCATGGGGCACTCTGTTCACAACATTGACATCTGCAAACCACTCACCCACACGTCGCTATACACGTGGTCTGCGGTTGTCAGGCCAGGTTGGATGTACTGCCAAATTCTCTAAAATGATGTTGGAGGCGGCTTCTGGTAGAAAAATTAACATTAAATTATCTGGCAACAGCTCTGGTGGACATTCCTGCAGTCAGCATGCCAATTGCACACTCCCTCAAAACTTGAGACATCTGTAGCATTGTGTTGTGTGACAAAACTGCACATTTTAGAGTGGCCTTTTATTGTCCCCAGCACAAGGTGCACCTGTGTAATGATCATGCTGTTTAATCAGCTTCTTGATATGCCACACCTGTCAGGTGGATGGATTATCTTGGCAAAGGAGAAATGCTCACTAACAGGGATGTAAACAAATTTGTGCACAACATTTTGGGGAAATAAGCTTTTTGTGCATATAGAACATTTCAGGGATCTTTTATTTCAGCTCATGAAACATGGGACCAACACTTTACATGTTATGTTTATATTTTTGTTCAGTGTATATACAGTAGAACCCATAAATGCTGATACATAGATTTGGAATGAACCGAGGACATCTGACACAGTCTAACTATGTTTCCTTGGTTCTCTTCAGGGTTGGTTGGCTAAACAGAAACAGCAAACACAGCAGGTTTCTCACAGGAGGTTCCAGGAAAGCCAAGAGAAAATCAGATAACAAACGGTAAGATCCAATGGCGACGGCTGGCAAAGGGAGCCATCGATACACAGGACAAAAGGAGTGAGCAACCATGGAATAGAAAAAGAGAAAAGGAGACTAGTGAAAACCAGACACCATTGTACGTCTTTGAGTTTCAGAGAGACAGAGGAGAATACAAACCCAAAATAGAGAGAGACGCTACAGATTAGTTGCGGTTTTGTGTCACTGTGTATGTTGTTCATTATTTGATGGTATTTTGTGTGTGGGTATGCTGGCTCTTTATGCTTTTCAAAACTCAACTGACTTATTATTTCAAAGTCTTGTGGAAAGTTCCAAAATCTAACTTTGTAGGAGTAAATAATTGGTTGATTAGAGGTGGACTCCAATTAATGACAGTTTAATGAGTTTTGCATCCTTTTAATTATTTGTTTGAATGAGCCGCTATCTTTGAAAGCAGACCCTCTTTAAATTACATTCTTAACCAGGATAGCTCGGTTCAGAGGTCAATTCAACGATTTCTCTGGTATTAAAAGCTTAGATTTTATTACAAAATGAGAAAGTACAAAACAGGAACGTTATGTCATTCTGTGTTAGAGTTATTGTTTGACAAGTATTTAGGACAGAAACTGGCTAGGGACTCTTCTTTTATCCGATTCCCTGGATTGACTGGCTGATTGAATGAAGATGTGTGCACCACTCCAGTTCCTCCACCCCACCCATAAATCCAAGAGCCATGTGTTTGAGCCAGTGTTCCAGGGGAACCTGTAAACGACCACAGGAGCAACAGATACAAGAGGTCAGGGATGCAGTTATGAAGAAATAAAAGAGGCAATATAACCCCTGCATAGCGCAAACACTGCCCTCATAAACACTAACTAAAAAAGCAACACCTGAGGATAGAAATAAAATCTGAAAGGAAAATATTTGTCCACTCCAGTTATGGGTTATTGAGATGTAATTCTAAGGTCAAATACACCAAATACACCATTCAATATCACACAAACAAGGCCATGGCCAGGAATAGGACAGTACACAACACATTGGTTTCTCACTTAAAACTGAGCTGACACAAAACCAGTAGTATCAGCCTTCACATCATCTCCAGAAAGACCTCAGAACCCCCTCTCACCTGATACCGCCCAGCCGGGTCGAATCGGGTTTCATAGAAGTGGAGTGCTTCACCATCTTGTAAATTGTCACCACCAGGAAGATGAGATTGAGCTGTCAAAACAGAGGCACAGCGAGGTTAACACACCACACTGGAGCACGGCATCCATTTCCTGGTATGAGCAGCAATGCACGTCGCCTACATTTCATGGTATCTTAAGACCAAAAACAGGGTGGTTCGTACACAAATAGGCAAACTCAAAGGGATTCCTAAATTTAAGTAGCAGCATGTCACCTACATGTTTTAGTCACTTACTGAGATCATATAACAATAACACATCAACATTAGTATGTTATACCAAGAGGGATATTAAACTTTCAAGCTTTGTGGTCCTCTGTAGCTCAATTGGTAGAGCATGGCGCTTGTAACACCAGGGTAGTGGGTTCAATCCCCGGGACCACCCATACGTAAAAATGTATGCACACATGACTGTAAGTCGCTTTGGATAAAAGCGTCTGCTAAATGGCATATTATTATTATATTATTTAGTGCAAATGATCAAACAGACTGCCTCCCAAAAGTGAGAATAGAGAGGTTGTAGCTTAGCTTTGGTCTCCAGCTCCACTAACACTGGCTATGATAAAGTGCCTCGGATGCCCCTTCCCACTCCTATGGCTGATGTAACTAACGCACAACACCTCAGGCCCTAGCCAAGCAGACTGGTGCCAAACACGTGTTATTACTCATAACAGCATGGGAATGTTAATCTAATACGGCCTAAACAGAACGAGAGAGCGAGAACGAGAGAGCGAGAGAGAGAAGAGAGAGAGAGAGAGAGAGAGAGAGAGAGAGAGAGAGAGAGAGAGAGAGAGAGAGAGAGAGAGAGAGAGAGAGAGAGAGAGACCAGAGCAGAGCGCCATATTTTAGCAACAAAGGTCTGGAGCCAGGAAAAACAGCTCCATATTCTAAGCTATACATTCAGAAAGGTTTCCATGACTTCAGGATGTTTGTCTGTAAGCACAGGGAGGCCCACCACCACCAGGGGAAGGGAGGGGATATGGTACAATAAAACCTCACTGAAAACAACTCTTCAGTAAATATTGAGTAAATATTATATATTTTTATACTTCTATATATTTTGCATTTTCAGTTATTACAACATTCTCTATGAAAGAAAATCTCAATGAAAGAAAATAAATGACAAAAACTGCCTGGGTTTGAGGGAACACAAAGCAATTCTGATCTAGCAGAGATACTGTCCCAAGATGATCAAATACAATATATTTGTGGGCTGAATTTTATGAAAGCTGTTCAGTATATGATCTCACTCTAAAACATTAATACACCAGACCAATATAGAACCATAGCTACGTACATCCCTTTCAAATAGAAACCAATAACGTGGGGTGAAAGAGGGGTAAAGGGAGAGACAGAGAGGGGTAGAGGGAGAGACAGAGAGAGGGGTAGAGAGAGAGAGAGGGGTAGAGGGAGAGAGAGAGAGGGTGTAAGGAGAGACAGGAGAAGCGAGAGAGGAGGGTAGGGAGAGACTGAGATTACGTGAGAGGGAGAGAGAGCAGAGAAGAGATAGAGAGAGAGTGTAGCGGAGACAGAGCGACAGAGAGAGAGAGGAGATAGATAGCGAAATAGCGAAGAGATAGTAGTAGAGCAGAGCGCTCGGCGGCGTCTCTCGCTTTGTTCCTCGTCGCCTTTTTTCCCCCCTCTCCTCTCCTCTCTCTGCTCTCTCGCATCGCGCCTACGCCTCTCTCTTCCTCCGCTTCTCGGCTCTCTTCGCTCGCTCCCGCTCGCGCCCCTCGCTGGTCTATCGTTCTAGACAGACGTGTCTAGCGTCGAGATGCGGGTAGCGAAGGAGAGATAGAGAGAGTGATATGAGAGAGTGAGATAGTCTAGAAACGCGAGGAAAGAGAAGAGTCTGAGGTTAGAGAGAATACGACCAGAATGGCTTTTTTAGATCAGAGTGATGTTTTGTCTCCTAGCCACCAGGGCCGATTTAGGTCTGCATGAGTCGAGTGGTTGGAGATGCATTTAACACAGCCGCCAGTGATGACACAGATCTGATGAGACAGGCAGGCAGGCAGAGAGGCAGGCAGGCAGCTTAGGGCTGAGACAATTACCGTATAACCGTGTAACCGACTGTTATGGATGAAGACAGTCATGTAAATAAAACAACCGTCATAACCGTAAAAAAAACAAACATGTTTTACATGGCATGTAATGGAATGTATTTTTGTAATGACAGTTGAGTTGAATCAACAAAACACAGCACATATTTTAGCACATAATTTACTGGCTGCCAGTCCACCCATTAAGCCATCATTGACTTGAAAGGGGACGCCCATTCTATTCATTCTATTTCTATGGCAGCACATGCAATCAGGAGCAGAGGAGAGGAGAAAATGTGCGTATATATTCATAGATAAAAAAATTGATAATCAAACGGTTATTACGGTCACCACGGTCATTTGGCTGGCCAATTACCATCAAATAAAATGCCATGACCGTCACAGCCCTAAGGCAGGCAGAGAGGCAGGCAGGCAGGCAGAGAGGCAGGCAGGCTGAGAGGCAGGCAGGCTGAGAGGCAGGCAGGCAGAGAGGCAGGCAGGCAGAGAGGCAGGCAGAGAGGCTGAGAGGCAGGCAGGCTGAGAGGCAGGCAGGCTGAGAGGCAGGCAGGCAGAGAGGCAGGCAGAGAGACAGGCAGGCTGAGAGGCAGGCAGGCAGGCAGAGAGGCAGGCAGGCAGGCAGAGAGGCAGGCAGGCAGACAGGCTGAGAGGCAGGCAGGCTGAGAGGCAGGCAGGCAGAGAGGCAGGCAGGCAGAGAGGCAGGCAGGCAGGCTGAGAGGCAGGCAGGCAGGCAGAGAGGCAGGCAGGCTGAGAGGCAGGCAGGCAGGCAGAGAGGCAGGCAGGCAGGAAGAGAGGCAGGCAGGCAGGCAGGCTGAGAGGCAGACAGGCTGAGAGGCAGGCAGGCTGAGAGGCAGGCAGGCTGAGAGGCAGGCAGGCAGAGAGGCAGGCAGGCAGAGAGGCAGGCAGGCAGGCTGAGAGGCAGGCAGGCAGGCAGAGAGGCAGGCAGGCTGAGAGGCAGGCAGGCAGGCAGAGAGGCAGGCAGGCAGAGAGGCAGGCAGGCAGGCAGGCTGAGAGGCAGGCAGGCTGAGAGGCAGGCAGGCAGGCAGGCAGGCAGAGAGGCAGGCAGGCAGGCAGGCAGAGAGGCAGGCAGGCAGGCAGAGAGGCAGGCAGGCAGGCTGAGAGGCAGGCTGAGAGGCAGGCAGGCAGGCAGGCAGAGAGGCAGGCAGAGAGGCAGGCAGGCTGAGAGGCAGGCAGGCAGAGAGGCAGGCAGGCAGGCTGAGAGGCAGGCAGGCAGAGAGGCAGGCAGGCAGGCAGAGAGGCAGGCAGGCAGGCAGAGGGGCAGGCAGGCAGGCAGAGAGGCAGGCAGGCACTGAACTGTACATGTACTCGCTTCTCCCCGCACCCCACTCTCTACGGACCCTCTCCTCTCCTCTGCACTACCCACTAGCACTACCCATTACCTCCTCACAAAACACACCACCAAAACCACAACACCCTTTCCCTTACGTATCTATGCACAGTATGTGCATGTGTATGTGCTGTATAAACACAGTATGCACACATTTACATGTGTTTTCTGTGTGAATAGTACAAATGTATGTGCATGCATGGGTGCGTATGTTTGTGTGTGTGTGTAAACTCCATGCGGGCTGCATGAAATATTTAGAGGTGAGGATGGAGATGTCCATGCAACGGGATTGGCTGTGGACGCGTCATGATCCTCGGCAGGGCTAGGGGGTTGTGGGTAATGGCTGTCTGGCCCACCCACTAATTATTTCCATGTTCAAACCCCCCCCCCCCCCCCCTCTCCCCCTCCATCCTCCCACTCTTTTTCTCACTGAGCAAATGACCTTCATGCCTGAGATTGTCTCTCCTCCTCCTCCTCAGACAACTGACTGAGTGTGTGAAGGCGAGAACTGCTTCCTCAATCCTCAACTCTTTCCACCAAACAAACAGCTAAGCTGTTGAATGCTGCTGCTCACTAGACTAGACACATTTCATAGGATTTTACAGCTGAATGACTGCTGATGTCCTCAGGTCAGCTATAATGGACCACTTTCCTTTCATGCAACTTGATCAGCAAAAGCAAGAGCTAAGTGACCAGGCGAGACAGAAAAACTATAAAATCCATGAACTTTTCCCCCCTTCACATTACTTTGCGGAAAATAAATGTATTTTGCATGGACGTAGGCAGAGACACAGACACAGATACCAACATAGTAACAGACGTAGGCAGAGACACAGACACTCAAGCCCATACTGTATGGATAATGCACACATACCTGATTTTCATGCCATCATAGAGACACATACACACTCTCTTACACACACACACACACACACAAACACACACATCCCATAAAGTATAATGTGGCTTACCATGATAATGAAGGTGACAGGTCCTATGAAGCTCCAAATGAAGTGGTTATCCACCCTCAGCCAGCAGCTGCAATGGGACACATCATGTGATCAGGTGATAGACATCCCTCAAGAGCAAATGAGCTACTCTGGCTCTCCTACTGTGACTGTAATATCTCTGCATGTTCCACACTCTCTACAGCATTTGTCACATTGTATCCTAGTGATTAGTAATCAGCCTGGCTTCTAGACTAGATAGATGACATGATGATATAGTTACTACAGCAATAGAATAGTGATTGTCCTTCTGGACCACAGAGAGAACCTGACCTTGAACACATTCTGGCTGTGATCCATACAACAGCACTGGTATTGGATTCATGACTTCAGAGTCTGCCAAAGTCTACAATTGAGAGAGCAGTCTAGCTATCCTTTCGACTCTAAACACAGTCAAAACGTACGCACAAATAGTTCCAGCAAGATTTGTGCTGAAGCTACTGTATGTATTATCAGATAATATGTTCATTCAAATGCAGGGAGCGTTGCACTACAGCCCCAAATGTAAAAAAGAATACCCAATTTACATAACTCTCTCTGGAAAAAGAAAGGCCTACGACAAATCATATGGCTTGTTTCTTGGATAAAGGCCACTGGAGAAGAAAAGTTTAAAGAGTTAAGGTCAAGAGAGAAAAAAAAGCTCATGCGTACACAGAGAACACACCAGACCAGAGCAACCAACCAGCCAGAGAATTCATTAATGTAGTGGTTTTGCTCACAGCTTTTCTCTTTCCTCTCTGACAGGGTGTACATTTGCCAGGAGGCAGAGGGAGAGGCAGTGGGAGACTGGGGCCTGTGCTGTAGCTCTCATTAGCACTATATCTATCTATGTGGGAAGAAAGGGAGTCTTGATATGGAGCTTGCTGGCCTGGGAGACCTGATTCTCTCTGCACCAAGAAAGGAAGATAGATACTGTTGAATGCTCACACAGTTTTATTGTGCAATGTTTCCCCCCCAAGGTCAACATCTGAAGAGGGTATCTAGCTTTCTTTCTTTCTTTCTTGACATTACTTTTCGTACCCTGCACCTGACGGTTACTGGACGTATGTACACTACTTCTTAACTACTGCATTTTGCACCAAGCACACAAAGAAAAGGTCTACAGATGAGATGTTACTTACGCTCTCTGTGTCCCGTAGCTGCGGTAGTCGATGGCGGCCGAGATTCCCACCACCACGGCGGGAAAGAGGTATCCTGAGGCGTAATAGTACTTCCTGCGGGAGAACTCGCTCTCGAACACCTCAACCAGCATGAGGTAGAGCTGCACACCCTCCAGACACATCCAGGCAAACGCCGCGAGGAAGAAGAAATGAAGAACGACCGCAATGATGGAACACACCAGCTGGGAGGGGGACACATTTAAAGATTACACATACAGCGGTAAAGGGACAGTGGCATTGAAGCTGCATTGAAACAAGGGAAGTCAAAATAGGCATAGATAACTGAAACATATTCCCTAGGAACACAATGATAGTTAGCCAAAATAATTGTGCATCTAAGTCCACTCTGATCCATGTGTACACTCTGGGGGCACCCGCACTCCTTACCTTGGGTTCAGTCATATTGATGCCCACAAGGAAGACCAGCTCAGCAATGAAAAGGTTGAGGCAGAGGTTCTTGTGGATGGTGTTGCGGTCGCTCTGAAGGCCCCCGAAGAAGCAGAAGGTGAAGAGGCTGATGGCCAGACACACCAGCGACACAGCAATTCCCATCCGGGTTATCACCGTCAGCAGCAGATCATGGACGCTCCCCTCTGCCTGGAGAACAGGACAGAGAGACACAAACCGCCGGAGTTAGAACCAATAACCTGCCGGATGTACCTATCATGATATAAACACAGGGGGTGGTTAGAACTAATAAGCTTTTTTTGTTGTGAAGACCTTTTTATCTTATTCAAATGTTTAGGGAATACAATGAGTATGAAGACGGAGACAACGCTATCTAGTACAGTACCACCGCCACCTTCCTTTCTCAGGCCACTTTACACAAATGCCGTTCCCAACATTTATCAGTATACGTTATATTATCTTAAGTAAACCCAATAACCTGGTAAAATAAATTACTGATGTAATGTACCATGTAAGAACATGGAGCTAATATGATATCATGACATGTACGGATATTTATAAAGGGATTTAACTCAACATCTAGCTGAACCAATCAGAAACACGCAGCAACACAACAGGGAGGGTTTAGACCCAATAACCTGCCGGAAAACATAAGACATGACAGACTTCATGTCCCCATCAATGAACCTTGACATAACATGATGTCCTGACTCACTGAGGGATTTAACTCAACATCTACTGTAGGAAACAGATTACATGTTGTACCACAACATGTGCCCTGCCAATGTAAAGTAATTAGTAAGCTGTCACAAAGCTCTGTGACACCAAGTTGCGACATGTTATAACATATATTCGGGGATTGCTCTGTGAAGGGCTGACATTATAAAATATAATGTGAGATCACTCTGTGAAGGGCTGATTAAAGTGCGTGTCACAACCCATGAAAATGAACACATTTCAATGTAGGCTACGACCATATGCAAAAATAGAAGCCTTCACCATACAGAATATCACTCAGGGATAGTGGTCTGAACATGAGGTAATCCGTTCCGTGATATTAGTAATTTTATTGAGGGCAGGCCAGGAGGAGTTGTAGTTGAGGTGTAGGGTTGGTGTGACGGGGAGGGAAGACTTAGCCCAGGGACTCTGGTTTCTCCTTGTGGTGAAGGGTTGTAAGATTCGGGGTTTGCGAGAGGAAGACAGGGGAAGAGTTCATGAGTCGGGACATGTTATTATATAAACCACAAACTTATGTTCCACATTTATTACTGGGTAGATGCTTGCAGCACATGATATTTATCATAAATTGGATTGTAATTGCATTTTGCTTGCAAATGGATCTCACCCACTTCATGTCGTTGAGTGGAAATGCAAATTAAAGAAGCGCGACAAAGGGCCGCCGTGTACGTTTCCCTGTGTATGATTCCAGCAGACGTGCGTGAAGGCTATTAGTCACAGACCATAGGTAAAATGTCATTTATTTCCAATAAGGTTTCAGCTAGCTCTCACTACAGTATCTTATGCCTGCGATCTCTTGCTTTTGTGCTCCCGGCAACGTAAGTGACAGCCTCCTTCCGTTTCTCTCCATATACATTAACTAACCACATTCCTCACCTCAACTCCCATCCCCCTATCCCTCCAACAAACCCCCCACCCTCAAATCTAATCAGCCTCTGAGTTGTCAATCTTACTGTAGCCATGTTTAAATACATACTGTACGGTACATACAGTGGGGGAAAAAAGTATTTAGTCAGCCACCAATTGTGCAAGTTCTCCCACTTAAAAAGATGAGAGGGGCCTGTAATTTTCATCATAGGTACACGTCAACTATGACAGACAAATTGAGAATGTTTTTTCCAGAAAATCACATTGTAGGATTTTTAATGAATTTATTTGCAAATTATGGTGGAAAATAAGTATTTGGTCACGTACAAACAAGCAAGATTTCTGGCTCTCACAGACCTGTAACTTCTTCTTTAAGAGGCTCCTCTGTCCTCCACTCGTTACCTGTATTAATGGCACCTGTTTGAACTTGTTATCAGTATAAAAGACACCTGTCCACAACCTCAAACAGTCACACTTCAAACTCCACTATGGCCAAGACCAAAGAGCTGTCAAAGGACACCAGAAACAAAATTGTAGACCTGCACCAGGCTGGGAAGACTGAATCTGCAATAGGTAAGCAGCTTGGTTTGAAGAAATCAACTGTGGGAGCAATTATTAGGAAATGGAAGACATACAAGACCACTGATAATCTCCCTCGATCTGGGGCTCCACGCAAGATCTCACCCCGTGGGGTCAAAATGATCACAAGAACGGTGAGCAAAAATCCCAGAACCACACGGGGGGGACCTAGTGAATGACCTGCAGAGAGCTGGGACCAAAGTAACAAAGCCTACCATCAGTAACACACTACGCCGCCAGGGACTCAAATCCTGCAGTGCCAGACGTGTCCCCCTGCTTAAGCCAGTACATGTCCAGGCCCGTCTGAAGTTTGCTAGAGTGCATTTGGATGATCCAGAAGAGGATTGGGAGAACGTGATATGGTCAGATGAAACCAAAATATTACTTTTTGGTAAAAACTCAACTCGTCGTGTTTGGAGGACAAAGAATGCTGAGTTGCATCCAAAGAACACCATACCTACTGTGAAGCATGGGGGTGGAAACATCATGCTTTGGGGCTGTTTTTCTGCAAAGGGACCAGGACGACTGATCCGTGTAAAGGAAAGAATGAATGGGGCCATGTATCGTGAGATTTTGAGTGAAAACCTCCTTCCATCAGCAAGGGCATTGAAGATGAAACGTGGCTGGGTCTTTCAGCATGACAATGATCCCAAACACACCGCCCGGGCAACGAAGGAGTGGCTTCGTAAGAAGCATTTCAAGGTCCTGGAGTGGCCTAGCCAGTCTCCAGATCTCAAACCCATAGAAAATCTTTGCAACAAGGGAGTTGAAAGTCCTTGTTGCCCAGCGACAGCCCCAAAACATCACTGCTCTAGAGGAGATCTGCATGGAGGAATGGGCCAAAATACCAGCAACAGTGTGTGAAAAAAAAATCTCATTTTGTCTGTCATAGTTGACGTGTACCTATGATGAAAATTACAGGCCTCTCTCATCTTTTTAAGTGGGAGAACTTGCACAATTGGTGGCTGACTAAATACATTTTTTCCCCACTGTACAATGAGGGGGGATGGGGCAGATTCACTACGAGTGTCCTTAAATCCCAAATCAACCCCTAGCCCCTAACCCCTGGAGCAGGGATGGGCAACTTTGATGGGGGTGGGGGCCACAAAAAATCTGAACTCATCATGAGGGGCCACAGTGGCTCGCGGTCTGTGTACCCACATCCATACCCACACTTGCAGTCAGAGCCAGTCCTAACCTTTTTTTTTGGCAATTCTACACATTTTGTCATGGGGTGGAAAGAAGATTTTGCAATTTTATAACTCATTTCATGCAATTCTACTCATTTTGCCATGGGGTGGAGAAAACAAGGTGCAGTTATACAGCTAATTTCCTGCATTTCTACACATTTGGCCATATGGTGGAGAGAAATGTTTGCAGTTCTTAATATGATATCTCAGTGACAGTGACTACCCCCCCCCCCCCCCCCCCCCGGTTGGTAAATAGACCATGTTTACTACAAGTTAAGATGGCTGACTTGACTAACTTACCAATCTAAAAAATTTTAGCTGACATGGGGTAATTGAGTGACTGTCAGTGACTGACATAACAGAGAAAAACCTCTGATGCACTATCAAATTACGAAATCGCACCTTGTGTATTCTACTATTCTAACTCTCAACAGTAAGTTGAGACCCCGACTGAATAAAAAAAAAAAACGTGTATTGACCAGCGGGCCAACAATGGTCGCCAGCTGCCCATCCCTGCCCTAGAGACTTATGGAGATCTGAGAGGATTGGATGGGTATCCACAATATGGTTACAATTCCACAGAGGACAAGAATTGTGGACATTCCACCATATTTCTTACACACATACAATCCTCTCCGATCTACACAAATGTCTAAGGGGTTAAGGGCTAGCTAGGGGTTGGTTTGAAACAGCCACTCACCATGTTCCCTAGATGGGAACATGCATACATATTACATACATCCGGTAGAAGTCCAACCCCACAGCATGATAGAACTCATTGAGGGCCACTCACCACGTTCCCTCTATGGGCCATTAGGATGGCGAAGTTGGTCAGGTGACTACAGGAACAGGTGGTGTGGCTCTTGTTGGTGTCCAGGAGCTTACAGCCCTGAGTAGACCAGTAGCCTATCATACTCCTCTCAGAGTAGTTCCAGAAGGAGCAGTTGGGGTTGTAGTAGTGCTCCTTCTACAAAGCAGAAAATAAAGAAATAAGAACATTGTTTAAGACAACTAGCTAACAGTTAGGGTTTTAGTAGTTCTCTTCATCAACCTGGCCAAGGCTTTCGACTCTGTCAACCACCGCATTCTTATTGGCAGACTAAATAGCCTTGGTTTCTCAAATGACTGCCTCGCCTGGTTCACCAACTACTTCTCAGATAGAGGTCAATGTGTCAAATCGGAGGGCCTGTTGTCTGGTCTCTATGGGGGTGCCACAGGGTTCAATTCTCGGGACGACTCTATTCTCTGTGTATATCAATGATGTTGATCTTGCTGCTGGTGATGCTCGGATCCACCTCTATGCGGATGACACCATTTTGTATACATCTGGCCCTTCATTGGACACTGTGTTAACAAACCTCCAAACGAGCTTCAATGCCATACAACACTCCTTCCGTAGCCTCCAACTGCTCTTAAACGCTAGTAAAACTAAATGCATGCTCTTCAACCGAACGCTGCTTGCACCTGCCCACCCAACTAAAATCACTACTCTCGGCGGGTCTGACCTAGAGTATGTGGACAACTACAAATACCTAGGTGTCTGGTTAGACTGTAAACTCTCCTTCCAGACTCACATTAAGCATCTCCAATCAAAAGTTAGATCTAGAATCGGCTTCCTATTTCGCAACAAAGCCTCCTTCACTCATGCTGCCAAACATGCCCTCGTAAAACGGACTATCCTACCGATCCTTGACTTCGGCGATGTCATTTACAAAATAGCCTCCAACACTCTATTCAGCAAATTGGATGTAGTCTATCACAGTGCCATCCGTATTGTCACCAAAGCCCCATATACTACCCACCATTGTGACCTGTACGCTCTCGTTGGCTGGCCCTCACTACATATTCGTCGCCAAACCCACTGGCTCCAGGTCATCTATAAATCACTGCTAGGCAAATCCCCGTCTTATCTTAGCTCACTGGTCACCATAGCAACACCCACCCACAGTCTGCGCTCCAGCAGGTATATCTCACTGGTCATCCCCAAAGCCAACACCTCCTTTGGCCGCCATTCCTTCCAGTTCTCTGCTGCCAATGACTGGAACGAACTGCAAAAATCTCTGAAGCTGGAGACTCTTATCTCTATTTGCACATCATCTTTTGCACATCTATCATTCCAGTGTTAATACGAAATTGTAACTATTTTGCACTATGGCCTATTTATTGCCTTACCTCCATCATTTACTACATTTGCACAAACTGTATAAACAGTGGGGAGAACAAGTATTTGATACACTGCCGATTTTGCAGGTTTTCCTACTTACAAAGCATGTAGAGGTCTGTAATTTTTATTATAGGTGTGAGAGACGGAATCTAAAACAAAAATCCAGAAAAACACATTGTATGATTTTTAAGTAATTAATTTGCATTTTATTGTATGACATAAGTATTTGATACATCATAAAAGCAGAACTTAATATTTGGTACAGAAACCTTTGTTTGCAATTACAGAGATCATACGTTTCCTGTAGGTCTTGACCAGGTTTGCACACACTGCAGCAGGGATTTTGGTCCACTCCTCCATACAGACCTTCTCCAGATCCTTCAGGTTTCGGGGCTGTCGCTGGGCAATATGGACTTTCAGCTCCCTCCAAAGATTTTCTATTGGATTCAGGTCTGGAGACTGGCTAGGCCACTCCAGGACCTTGAGATGCTTCTTACGGAGCCACTCCTTAGTTGCCCTGGCTGTGTGTTTCGGGTCGTTGTCATGCTGGAAGACCAGGCCACGACCCATCTTCAATGCTCTTACTGAGGGAAGGAGGTTGTTGGCCAAGATCTCGCGATACATGGCCCCATCCATCCTCCCCTCAATACGGTGCAGTCGTCCTGTCCCCTTTGCAGAAATGCATCCCCAAAGAATGATGTTTCCACCTCCATGCTTCACGGTTGGGATGGTGTTCTTGGGGTTGTACTCATCCTTCTTCTTCCTCCAAACATGGCGAGTGGAGTTTAGACCAAAAAGCTCTATTTTTGTCTCATCAGACCACATGACCTTCTCCCATTCCTCCTCTGGATCATCCAGATGGTCATTGGCAAACTTCAGACGGGCCTGGACATGCGCTGGCTTGAGCAGGGGGACCTTGCGTGCGCTGCAGTATTTTAATCCATGACGGCGTAGTGTGTTACTAATGGTTTTCTTTGAGACTGTGGTCCCAGCTCTCTTCAGGTCATTGACCAGGTCCTGCCGTGTAGTTCTGGGCTGATCCCTCACCTTCCTCATGATCATTGATACCCCACGAGGTGAGATCTTGCATGGAGCCCCAGACCGGGGGTGATTGACCGTCATCTTGAACTTCTTCCATTTTCTAATAATTGCACCAACAGTTGTTGCCTTCTCACCAAGCTGCTTGCCTATTGTCCTGTAGCCCATCCCAGCCTTGTGCAGGTCTACAATTTTATCCCTGATGTCCTTACACAACTCTCTGGTCTTGGCCATTGTGGAGAGGTTGGAGTCTGTTTGATTGAGTGTGTGGACTGGTGTCTTTTATACAGGTAACGAGTTCAAACAGGTGCAGTTAATACAGGTAATGAGTGGAGAACAGGAGGGCTTCTTAAAGAAAAACTAACAGGTCTGTGAGAGCCAGAATTCTTACTGGTTGGTAGGTGATCAAATACTTATGTCATGCAATAAAATGCAAATTAATTACTTAAAAATCATACAATATGATTTTCTGGATTTTTGTTTTAGATTCCGTCTCTCACAGTTGAAGTAAAAATTACAGACCTCTACATGCTTTGTAAGTAGGAAAACCTGCAAAATCGGCAGTGTATCAAATACTTGTTCTCCCCACTGTATATATTTTCTGTTGTATTTTTGACTTTATGTTTTGTTTACCCCATATGTAACACTGTGTTGTTGTTTTTAATCGCACTGCTTTGCTTTATCTTGGCCAGGTCGCAGTTGTAAATGAGAACTTGTTCTCAACTGGCTTACCTGGTTAAATAAAGGTTAAATAAATAAAAAATAATAAAAATAATAAGCAACATGAGGAAACCTCTTAAATACCATAAACAACAACATTCAAAGCATTGTTAAAAACAATGAACACATTACTTTAGAGTACATATGCTTCCTACCTATATATACAGTACCAGTCAAACATTTGGACACACCTACTCATTCCAGGGTTTTTCTTTATTTTGACTCTTTTCTACATTGTAGAATAATAGTGAAGACATCAAAACTATGGAATAACACAGTTGGAATCATGTAGTAACCAAAAAAGTGTTAAACAAATCAAAATATATTTTATATTTGAGATTCTTCAAAGTAGCAACCCCTTGCCTTGATGACAGCTTTGCACACTCTTGGCATTCTCTCAACCAGCTTCATGAGGTAGTCACCTGGACACCAATAAGAAGAAGAGACTTGCTTGGGCAAAGAAACATGAGCAATGGACATTAGACCGGTGGAAATCTGTCCTTTGGTCTGATGAGTCCAAATTTGAGATTTTTGGTTCCAACCGCCGTGTCTTTGTGAGACGCAGAGTAAGTGAACTGATGATCTCTGCATGTGTGGTTCCCACAGTGAAGCATGGAGGAGGAGGTGTGATGGTGTGTGGGTGCTTTACTGGTGACACTGTCTGTGATTTATTTAGAATTCAAGGCACACTTAACCAGCATGGCTCCCACAGCATTCTGCAGCGATACGCCATCCCATCTGGTTTGCGCTTAGTGGGACTATAATTTGACCCAAAACACCTCCAGGCTGAGTAAGGGCTATTTGAACAAGAAGGAGAGTGATGGAGTGCTGCATCAGATGACCTAGCCTCCACAATCACCCGACCTCAACCCAATTGAGATTGTTTGGGATGAGTTGGACCGCAGAGTGAAGGAAAAGCAGCCAACAAGTGCTTAGCATATGTGGGAACTCCTTCAAGACTGTCGGAAAAGCATTTCAGGTGAAGATGGTTGAGAGAATGCCAAGAGTGTGCAAAGCTGTCATCAAGGCAAAGGGTGGCTACTTTGAAGAATCTAAAATTTGTTTAACACTTTTTTGGTTACTACATGATTCCATGTGTGCTATTTCATAGTTTTGATGTCTTCACTATTATTCGACAATGTAGAAAATAGTAAAAATAAAGAAAAAACCCTTAAATTAGTAGGTGTGTCCAAACTTGACTGGTTTGTTCAGTATATATATATATATATATATATATATATATATATATATATATATATATATATATATATATATATATATATATATATAGTCTAGTGAGTGTGCGTAGGGTAAGTGCAAGATAGTCAGTGCATATCTGCTAATCTGTGTAAGCGACAAATAAACCTTGATTTGATTTTTACTTATTGTCTGTCATGCCAAGTGCAATTATAAACAATTACAGTATATTGAAATCTGTCATAAACATGGTAGCATTTTCTATGTAAACTAACAGAAACGTATACACATGTATTGATATTTTACAGCCGTGCTCACAGTGCAGCTGTATCTTATGACATTGGCATTTATCTTCCAACTACTAAAGACAACACTGCCATTTCCTTTCCCAGTATTTCCCCCTGCACTGAATCACACCGCAGCCTGACACCAGCGCTCCAGGATTTTCTCAGGGGAAGGGGAACTCACGTCGAGGTGCTCCAGGGTGAAGATGACGGGGTCAGACACGAACACACGGCTGGACTCCTTGGTGATGGAGGCGGCCAGGATGTGCGAGTTGACGGTCAGGTCTGAGAGGTTACGTCCTCCTCCTCTGCCCCCTCCTCCCCAGAGCGTGGCGTTCTCTGTACTGAGGAACTGGCCCAGGTGCTTATAGAGGACAAACACAAGCTTGGCCACACCTGGGAAAAAACACATTAGAATAAGATTTATGGTGGCATTGTGAACGTATAAAATTGCTACTAATTTCTATCCTTCAGCCACTGTCTCAGTGAAGGGCAATGCTCCTTCAGCATGATCACATTCATTTATTCATTCCCCCCATTACCGTTTTTACTGTTGACTTTGACTGTGTTTGCAGACAGCTGAATGGAGGCTCCACCCTTGCTGGTCTGGGGGAACCTGAAGTCCTGCACCTGGCCGTCTGTACTGAGCACATACACATCCAGCACTTGAGGAGGACAAGGTGAGGGGGAAGTAGAGGGGGAAGAGCAGAGAGAGAGGGGAAGGGAGGAGGGGCAAGAGGGAAAAGGAGAAGAGAATGTTAGTGGTATACATTACTGATAGATCAAGTATCAATCAATGATTTATATAGATACACTAGATGACTGTTGGGGGTGCTGTGTTGAAGCCACCGTACCTCCATCTTGGCACTCCCCCACCATTGTAGAAAATATTTTGGAAGCTATAGAAATGCATTTATTAATGTCTACATTCGTTTTTTGCCACGTTTATTCTATTACAGACATCTTAATGCATACTTTTTAATTATATTATGTGAGCTAAACATACAAATATACAGTGGGGAAAAAAAGTATTTAGTCAGCCACCAATTGTGCAAGTTCTCCCACTTAAAAAGATGAGAGAGGCCTGTAATTTTCATCATATGTACACGTCAACTATGACAGACAAAATGAGAAAGAAAAAAATCCAGAAAATCACATTGTAGGATTTTTTATGAATTTATTTGCAAATTATGGTGGAAAATAAGTATTTGGTCACCTACAAACAAGCAAGATTTCTGGCTCTCACAGACCTGTAAATTCTTCTTTAAGAGGCTCCTCTGTCCTCCACTCGTTACCTGTATTAATGGCACCTGTTTGAACTTGTTATCAGTATAAAAGACACCTGTCCACAACCTCAAACAGTCACACTCCAAACTCCACTATGGCCAAGACCAAAGAGCTGTCAAAGGACACCAGAAACAAAATTGTAGACCTGCACCAGGCTGGGAAGACTGAATCTGCAATAGGTAAGCAGCTTGGTTTGAAGAAATCAACTGTGGGAGCAATTATTAGGAAATGGAAGACATACAAGACCACTGATAATCTCCCTCGATCTGGGGCTCCACGCAAGATCTCACCCCGTGGGGTCAAAATGATCACAAGAACGGTGAGCAAAAATCCCAGAACCACACGGGGGGACCTAGTGAATGACCTGCAGAGAGCTGGGACCAAAGTAACAAAGCCTACCATCAGTAACACACTACGCCGCCAGGGACTCAAATCCTGCAGTGCCAGACGTGTCCCCCTGCTTAAGCCAGTACATGTCCAGGCCCGTCTGAAGTTTGCTAGAGTGCATTTGGATGATCCAGAAGAGGATTGGGAGAATGTCATATGGTCAGATGAAACCAAAATAGAACTTTTTGGTAAAAACTCAACTCGTCGTGTTTGGAGGACAAAGAATGCTGAGTTGCATCCAAAGAACACCATACCTACTGTGAAGCATGGGGGTGGAAACATCATGCTTTGGGGCTGTTTTTCTGCAAAGGGACCAGGACGACTGATCCGTGTAAAGGAAAGAATGAATGGGGCCATGTATCGTGAGATTTTGAGTGAAAACCTCCTTCCATCAGCAAGGGCATTGAAGATGAAACGTGGCTGGGTCTTTCAGCATGACAATGATCCCAAACACACCGCCCGGGCAACGAAGGAGTGGCTTCGGCTTCGTAAGAAGCATTTCAAGGACCTGGAGTGGCCTAGCCAGTCTCCAGATCTCAACCCCATAGAAAATCTTTGGAGGGAGTTGAAAGTCCGTGTTGCCCAGCGACAGCCCCAAAACATCACTGCTCTAGAGGAGATCTGCATGGAGGAATGGGCCAAAATACCAGCAACAGTGTGTGAAAACCTTGTGAAGACTTACAGAAAACGTTTGACCTGTGTCATTGCCAACAAAGGGTATATAACAAAGTATTGAGAAACGTTTGTTATTGACCAAATACTTATTTTCCACCATAATTTGCAAATAAATTCATTAAAAATCCTACAATGTGATTTTCTCTGAAAAAAAATCTCATTTTGTCTGTCATAGTTGACGTGTACCTATGATGAAAATTACAGGCCTCTCTCATCTTTTTAAGTGGGAGAACTTGCACAATTGGTGGCTGACTAAATACTTTTCCCCCCCCACTGTATATACATAAAAAGCTTAAAAGTATAATTTGTTGACATTACTAATGTTACTGTCCCCACTAAAACATCAAAAATACTTAAATACATGTAATTTATTCCTTTAAAACATTGAATTGAAATATTGTAGAATTTCATTAATTCCTATTGCGACCTGTGGCTACAATGCCTCTCAATGGCCAATACATACCATCAGCAATCCAGGGTTTACAGTGAGGGAAAAAAGTATTTGATCGTTTGCCCACTGACAAAGACATGATCAGTCTATAATTTTAATGGTAGGTTTATTTGAACAGTGAGAGACAGAATAACAACAAAAAAATCCAGAAAAACGCATGTCAAAAATTGTATACATTGATTTTTGATTTTAATAAGGGAAATAAGTATTTGACCCCTCTGCAAAACATGACTTAGTACTTGGTGGCAAAACCCTTGTTGGCAATCACAGAGGTCAGACGTTTCTTGTAGTTGGCCAGCAGGTTTGCACACATCTCAGGAGCATGGAGCCCCAGGCTGAGGGAGATTGACAGTTATTTTGTGTTTCTTTCATTTGTGAATAATCGCACCAACTGTTGTCACCTTCTCACCAAGCTGCTTGGCAATGGTCTTGTAGCCCATTCCAGCCTTGTGTAGGTCTATAATCTTGTCCCTGACATCCTTGGAGAGCTCTTTGGTCTTGGCCATGGTGGAGAGTTTGGAATCTGATTGATTGATTGCTTCTGTGGACAGGTGTCTTTTATACAGGTAACAAACTGAGATTAGGAGCACTCCCTTTAAGAGTGTGCTCCTAATCTCAGCTCGTTACCTGTATAAAAGACACCTGGGAGCCAGAAATCTTTCTGATTGAGAGGGGGTCAAATACTTATTTCCCTCATTAAAATGCAAATCAATTTATAACATTTTTGACATGCGTTTTTCTGTTTATTTTTGTTGTTATTCTGTCTCTCACTGTTCAAATAAACCTACCATTAAAATTATAGACTGATAATTTCTTTGTCAGTGGGCAAACGTACAAAATCAGCAGGGGATCAAATACTTTTTTCCCTCACTGTATATACATCATTGGTTTCAATAGCAACACACAGTGTATAATAGAGCTCTGATATAAAGGTTGGGAAGGGTGAAACAAGAGAGCAGCCATGTCCAGTGTTCCAGCTACAGAATCCAATCTCAATCAATATCCCATCCAACGCTACTTACTATTTAAAAAAAAGCACTAAGCTGCTCCCTGTAACCCTGGCCTACAGAGCTCCTCAGGGAGAGAGAGATGGAGAGAGAGAGAGAGAGAGAGATGGAGAGAGAGAGAGATGGAGAGAGAGATGGAGAGAGAGAGAGAGAGAGAGAGAGAGAGAGAGAGAGAGATCACACCACCATACAACCTGCTGCAGATCAAAAATATCATAGTTTTTTACTTTTTCTTCCCCCTATGGGTTCAGATAACTCTGGCCTCGCCAGCGAGCAAATCTCTGAAATTCTCTCTCTCTCTCTCGTAAGAAAAGGTGGTAGCTTGGAGAAATCTGTTGTTGAGGCCTTGTGTGCTTAAAGCACATAAACTATGCAACTATTAAAGTATTCATGGTGTGTATAGACAAAAATAATAATTGTGCATTTGCAGGCTGCAGTGCATCAGCTTTTCCTTATCTGCTTCTATTTACCATTTACTGAGAATGGGTTAAGGCAGGGTTAGAGGATATAGCTACCGTATAGAATATTACATTATTCAATTGATTTCTTTGATTTTCCATGAGTAGACCGGACAGCTTATCTTGCAAGGTGAGCGGGGAACCCATAACCATGGAACAAAGAGGCTTGTGTGGGAAAATGACAGTTCACTGCACAAAGCTGACTTAAATGAATGAGATCACATTGCTAATAAACTGCCTGTGAGAACATATTAGCTTGCCTGGCGCTGAGTGAGACATCAAACCTCCTACTGTGACTTCAACTAAATGTGGTCTTTTTAAAAACCACTTTGCCTTTCTCCTGGAGGAATAGCTGTCCAGATAATTTTTCTGTGTCTAGAATGAATAAGCCAATGGAACCTAACATCAGTATGTTTCTACAGAACTGTTGTGAATGTTAACTTCCACTTCCTTGGACATAACAAACAGTTGTAAAAAAGCACATTTTACTACTGAGGTCAAAGTAACTTTCTTCCAAGACATGGCCACAGTTTAATTAAAATAATAATTAAACTGTGGATTGTAACTGGCAGACGTGTCTGTCTCGTTTTTCCTTTTTATGAGTGACGGGCAGGGAGGGTAGAGAGAAGAAAATAAACATACTGATATTGTCTGCAGGCACTTTGACTACAGCGGGCTCAATCAGGTTGTCGGCAAGGACGAAGGCTCCTTCCTCCAGGGTATCCAGTAACATGGTGGCGGCGTGCGTTTGCTCCGTGGAATTCATGTCTTCCCAGGACTTCAGGGCTTCCGGCCTCAGGAGGTTGTCAACTGTATCTACAATGGCCTGTATCCGTGAAACAAATGTCAGAGTTTGTTGCTTTTTTTATACCTCATAACTTCTACAACTGTCTGCAGCATGAAGACAGAAAGGGGGCAAGGAAGGCATATGATGCTGATGGCAAGCAAGGACAAGCACATCAACAACAACAACTAAAAAATACAATAAATAAGGTCACTGGCATTATAGGATGATATGAAGATACATTTAAATTAAAACATCACTTAAAGATGGCATGGCGGTCACAGAATATAAACTAGAGGAAGTTGTCTCCCCATTTCCCTGGTTTAGACCCATTTATTTTATTTTGAATAACAAAACTGTGCCAGAGGGGAAGTTGGAACACAAACCAAATGTTTTTCAAATGAATGGAGCAGTTCTTCCTCAATACTGCTCTCTTAGTTCCTGTTCTTAAACATCTTACTTTTCCCAAAGAACAATTATCTTCCTCTTCCCTAACAATGAATATATTCCATAACAGGATCTGGTCATAATGGCCTTGAAATGTGCAGTTTTTCCTTCCTTGAGGGGAAAATGTTATCAAAAAACTGAAATCATTTGTTTCATGGGTAGCAGTCGAAGTAAAGAAGGGGATAATTCTGCTTGTTTTCAATGGCAATCCTTTCATTTCCTGCTTGGCTGATAAGCAGAAAGTAAGCAAAACATTCCAAACCCTCCCTAGAAAAAGTATCATATGTTGATCAAAATGGAGGTCCCTGTGACCCTGTGCAGGAGAGTTCACAACTCCCATGTAGCTTAGCATATCTATATCCACACAGCAGCGCTAACGCTAGCCCTACTGATGACTCCCATGTAGCTTAGTATATCTACATCCACACAGCATCACCAACGCCAGCCCAACTGACGACTCCCATGTAGCTTAGCATATCTATATCCACACAACATTGCTAATGCTAGCTGCACTGATGACTCCCATGTAGCTTAGCATATTCATATCCACACAGAAATGCTAGGCTAGCCCCACAGATAAACATAGCCATCGGCATAATTATCCCACAAATCCATATCAACCCATGGCCCGATAAACCAGAGACAATTTAACCACAGGTGCCATTAACCACAGCAGAGGCCCAGGCTACATTATAGTGGTAATTAGGAAAAATAAAAAGTCACTCACTGTACCAATTAGTGCAAAGCTGTGATTATCATCCACACACACACACACTAATTGACCATAGGCACAATTACCCTGTTGCCTGGATTAACCATTTGGGGGATTAAACCCAATGATTTATAGATACACTAGATGACTGATGGGGGCGATTTGTTGAAGCCACCGTGCTTCCATCTTGGCACTCCCCCACCATTGTAAAAAATATTTTGGAAGCTATAGAAATGCATTTACTAATATCTATATTTGTTTTTGACACATTTATTTTATTACAGACACCTTAATGCATACTTTTAAATTATTTTGTGTGAGCTAAACATAAAAATATATAAAAACATTTTCCTTAAAGTATATATATTTTTAGATTACTAATGTTACTGTGCCCACTACAACAACAAAATACTTCAATACATGTAATTTTGTCCTTGAAACATTTAATTGAAATATTGTAGAATTCCATTCATTCCTATGGAGGACTGCTCCTACTGGGGAGTGCCAATACATTGCATCAGCAATCCAGGGTTTATATACATCATTAATTAAACCCTGTAGTCCCTCGCTATCAAACCAGACCGATTATTAACCAATCACCACAACATGTAAACCGACCACACAGCATGGCTGCCATTATTACCTAGAGCTATGATAGGCATACAGCCCAGCTCTGAATCGGATACCTATAGCCTCTGTCTGTGTCTCTCTATGGGGGAATGCTGACCCTTCAGAAGGGATAGATAGAGCCTCTGTTAAGGACCACACACACAACATATAATGTTGATTTGCTGTATGTCTGCTGATCGCTCGGCACGCTGCGTTTTAGGGACCACCCGCTGGTGGATGTCTGACTGCGCAAATTACAGCATGCACTCTGTTCAAAGGTGCTAATTACTCTCGGCCGGCAAACGCTACTGGTGTGTCCTTTATTGGACTGTGATGGGGGAGTCAGAGAGGGGATAGGGAGGATAGGAGAGAGGAGAGGAAAGGAGAGAGGAAGAGAGTCGGAGAAGAGAGGAGAGGAGAGGGGAGAGGGGTCAGAGAGAGGAGAGGGGGGTCAGAGTAGCAGTAGTGATTACAGGGCTAGGACCATTACACCCCAGACAAACAGAGAAACACTCAACGGTCCTCCCTCCTGGTGAGAACCCCCCTTATAGGCGTGAAGGAGGAACAAAAAACTAAACAAATCCATGTCTCCAATTTGTGGCCGTGTTAAAATAAAAAAAACTGTTCTGATTGAGTCCTCTTTTATTCTCGCCTGGGTGGAGGTCGCACAACACAACAATCACAAGGGTGTTACCCAAGATGCCCCACAGCGAGGAGGAAATGCTTGGGTAATGGTGGTCGTGCGGACTTCACTAACATTGCCTATTGATGGATGGTGATGCATAAAGAAGACAGCCTTAAATCAAGTTGACGGAGACATATCCCCATTTCTCACAGTAAAAGAGACCTCAGTAAAAACAGCCCTAACTCATCATGGTGAAGAATGCTCCCACCAGTCGAACAGAGAGGCTGATGAGAGAGACACAAGGTCTGAGATAGCTGGTTTGTGCCGTGCAAGGCAGGCCCACTGTTTGTTTACGCCAGAGCCACTTCTTTCAACAGGACCTGCTCTCAGATTATAAACTCGAAGGAAAGGAAAATGACATGGAGAGAGAAAGGAATTAAAAAGACCCAACAAATCCGATATGAACACAAACACATTAATGGGACTGAACATGAATCCATCAGACAAACACAAAAATGTCAGCGAGAGGAAGAACAAGAAGACACTGGTAAAATGTAAGCACGTGAAAAACTGGGTACACTGCCACTTTGATCACACTTATGGGTGACAGGGAGGTACAATTACGGCCGTGGGAAGGCAATTACTCATACAACGCACAAGGAGCAGATAGGAGAGAGGGAGGGAGGGATCGAGAGAGGGATGGGGAATGAGGGGGATGGAGAGAGTGATAAGTGATAGAAGGAGAGATATTAAAGATAAGACATATTGACTGACAGACAGGCAGGCAGATAGACAGACAGACAGACAGGTGACTAGAGAGGTATTGAGATCGATGGACATACCGACAGGCTAACAAACACAGGCAGAAAGACAGGCTGGCAGATGCACAAGCAGAGAGACAGGTGGCCATGTTGTGCATACAGACAAGCCAGCAGATAATCACGGACAGACAGACAGACAGACAGACACAGACAGAGCAACACCAACACTACTGATCATATTGTGGATACTTTAAGAGGTAGAGGTGTCTATGTGGAACCAGCAGGTATACCTTCATATATGCCCTGCAAGTCCTCTCTCTCTTTTGAAGCTTTTTAACAAAAAGACAGGATCAAGAACAAGAGACACACTATTAGGAAGCAAAAAGCTTAGGGGAAAGAAAGAGGTTAGTCTATGTCTTTAGAAAACATATATCCTAAAATATACCACTTACCCAACTCGAATCAGGAAGGAAATGATAATGTATAAACCTTATGTTAGGTAGATGAAATAAGATGCTCATAATATATTATGAAGCACATTCTAAATGTGTTTCGGAAGCAGTATCTGAATATGTATCTAGCTTACATAACTACAAGGGCTTTGCTGGCCGAGACAAAGCTGCACAGCATAGCGTTGTAGAGGGGGAATTGCTGAGATTAAATTCCTATGCTTTGCATTAACGATGCTTTATAAAGCACTGAGATAATTGTTAGGTTCTAAACGAACCGAGAATTGAGACAATAAACAAAGTAGGAGAGGGTAATTTGGATTCCATGGCACTGAGGTTATAACAGTCTGCCAGCTCTTGGTTTTATTTTAGAGCCTTTGTTGGTCTGTCTCAGTCAAAAGAGACTGGTTCATTATTCCCACAGCTAGCTAAGTCGTGGCTGCAGGAGTATAGCATTGTGCTGTTGTAAGACAGTACAGCCAGAACATAGACAGAAAGGTTCAGTCTAGGACTAGCTACAAAGGTAACAAAGAAAACCCTACGCCAAAATCCACTTTGCTTTTAGGATAGCTTTCACCTTTGCGTTCTGAATAACACTGTAAAACTGTCATTCATTTCTCCATATGACTGTGGCAGATTTGTGCTTGGGCCCTTCACTCAGAGAGACATGGTAAGTGCTCTGGAGGAGGGAAGGCAGCTCTGTTCTTGCCTGTCTGGTGGTAGAGAGGAGAGTTATTATGTGTTGGCTAGCAGGGGGCTGCTATCCATTAGCTCTTAGTCAGAGCTGCCAGGTGAGAAAGCTGCATTTTAGAACCCAGTCATTTCTAGGAAAAGGTGGGGCTGGAAGAATGAGCTCCCTCCCTCACCGCAGCCACAGCTCCCCCTAAGGGCTGGGGCTGCCTTTCCTCACTCCCTCCTCCACCTCACCTGGAGGAAGACTTGTGGTTGTGGAGGGGTGGGTGGGTGTTGGGGGTTAATGAGTGACTTATAATTAGCTTTACATTTGTGGGTTTTTCTTGTTTTTTCTTAACAAGCTAAATTATCTAACGTCATCGGCAGATAATTTATCTTATTTCAAGATATTTTACCTTAAATCGTCTTAATAAGGTAAATATCTTAAAATAAGATAAATGACTTGCTAAAATTTAATTTTCTGCAGTGAGAGTACCTTGAGGGGGGCAACGGGAGGGGCAGGGAGGGCAGGAGAGGAGGGAATACTACCCACCCAGATATATACACGCATGTTTATACAGTATATGGTGCTCAACTTAACTAGCCTACCTGGGGTCACATACAGTGCATTCGGAAAGTATTCAGACCCCTTCACATTTTCCAAATTTTGTTACGTTACGTTATTCTAAAATGTTTTTTTTTTTTTTTTATCATCATCAATCTACAAAAACTGTAGTTTGTTTTGGTGTGCAAATGTATTACAAATAAAAAACTAAAATACCCTATTTACATATAGTACCAGTCAAAAGTTTGGACACACCTACTCATTCAAGGGTTTTTCTTTATTTTTACTATTTTCTACATTGTAGCATAATAGTGAAGACATCAAATCAAAATATATTTTAGATTTTAGATTCTTCAAAGTAGCCACCCTTTGCCTTGATGACAGATTTGCACTATCTTGGCATTCTCTCAAGCAGCTTCACCTGGAATGCTTTTCCAACAGTCTTGAAGGAGTTCCCACATATGCTGAGCACTTGTTGGCTTCTTTTCCTTCACTCTGCGGTCCAACTCATCCCAAACCATATCAATTGGGTTGAGGTCGGGGGATTGTGGAGGCCAGGTCATCTGATGCAGCACTCCATCACTCTCCTTCTTGGTCAAATAGCCCTTACACAGCCTTGAGGTGTGTTGGGTCATTGTCCTGTTGAAAAACAAATGATAGTCCCACTAAGCGCAAACCAGATGGGATGGCGTATCGCTGCAGAATGCTGTGGGGGCCATGCTGGTTAAGTGTGCCTTGAATTCTAAATAAATCACAGACAGTGTCACCAGCAAAGCACCCCCACACCATCACACCTCCTCCTCCATGTTTCACGGTGGGACCACACATGCTGAGATCATCCGTTCACAGACTCTGCATCTCACAAAGACACGGCGGTTAGAACCAAAAATCTCAAATTTGGACTCATCAGACCAACGGACAGATTTCCTCTGGTCTAATGTCCATTGCTCGTGTTTCTTGGCCCAAGCAAGTCTCTTCTTCTTACTAGTGTCCTTTAGTAGTGGTTTCTTTGCACCAATCGACCATGAAGGCCTGATTCACGCAGGTCTCCTCTGACCAGCTGATGTTGAGATGTGTCTGTTACTTGAACTCTGTGAAGCATTTATTTGGGCTGCAATTTCTGAGGCTGGTAACTCTAATGAACTTATCCTCTGCAGCAGAGGTAACTCTGGGTCTTCCATTCCTGTGGTGGTCCTAATGAGAGCCAGTTTCATCATAGCGCTTGATGGTTTTTGCGACTGCACTTGAAGAAACTTTCAAAGTTCTTGAAATGTTCTGTATTGACTGACCTTCATGTCTTAAAGTAATGATGGACTGTCATTTCTCTTTGCTTATTTGAGCTGTTCTTGCCATAATATGGACTTCACCTTTTACCAAATAGGGCTATTTTTTTAACATTTATCTTCTGTATACCAAGCCTACCTTGTCACAACACAACTGATTGGCTCAAACACATTAAGAAGGAAAGAAATTCCATAAATTAACTTTTAACAAGGCACACCTGTTAATTGAAATGCATTCTAGGTGACTACCTCATGAAGCTGGTTGAGAGAATGCCAAGAGTGTGCAAAGCTGTCATCAAGGCAAAGGGTGGCTACTAGAAGAATCTCAAATCTCAAATATTTTTTCATTTTTTTAACACTTTGGGTTACTACATGATTCCATATGTGTTATTTCATAGTGTTGAAGTCTTTACTATTATTCTACAATGTAGAAAATAGTAGAAATAAAGAAAAACCCTTGAATGAGTAGGTGTGTCCAAACCTTTGACTGGTACTGTAAGTATTCAGACCCTTTGCTGTGAGACTCTAAATTGAGCTCAGGTGCATCCTGTTTCCATTGATCATCCTTGAAATGTTTCTACAACTTGATTGGAGTCCACCTGTGGTAAATTCAAATGATTGGACAGGATTTGGAAAGGCACACACCTGTCTATATAAGGTCCCACAGTTGACAGTGCATCTCAGAGCAAAAACCAAGTCATGAGGTCAAAGGAATTGTCCGTAGAGATCTGAGAGAGGTCTGTGCGAGGCACAGATCTGGGGAAGGGTACCAAAAAATGTCTGCAGCATTGAAGCTCCCCAAGAACACAGTGGCCTCCATCATTCTTAAATGGAAGAAGTTTGGAACCACCAAGACGCTTCCTAGAGCTGGCCGCCCGGCCAAACTGAGCAATAGTGGGATAAGGGCCTTGGTCAGGGAGGTGCCAAGAACCCATTGGTCACTCTGACAGAGCTCCAGAGTTCCTCTGTGGAGATGGGAGAACCTTCCAGAAGGACAACCATCTCTGCAGCATTCCACCAATCAGGCCTTTATGGTAGTGGCCAGACGGAAGACACCCTCAGTTAAAGGTACATGACAGCCCGCTTGGAGTTTGCCAAAAGGCACCTAAAGGACTCTCAGACCATGAGAAACAAGATGCTCTGGTCTGATGAAACCAAGATTGAACTATTTGGAAACCTGGCACCATCCCTACGGTGAAGCATGGTGGTGGTAGCATCATGCTGTGGGGATGCTTTTTCAGCGGCAGGGACTGGGAGAGTGGTCAAGATCGAGCGAAAGATGAACGGAGCAAAGTACAGAGAGATTCTTGATGAAAACCTGCTCCAGAGCGCTCAGGACCTCAGATTGGGGCGAAGGTTCACCTTCCAACAGGACAACGACCCTAAGCACACAGCCAAGACAACGCAGGTGTGGCTTCGGGACAAGTCTCTGAATATCAGAGCCAGGACTTGAACCCGATTGAACATCTCTGGAGAGACCTGAAAATAGCTGTGCAGCGATGCTCCCCATCCAACCTGACAGAGCTTGAGATGATCTGCAGAGAACAATGGGAGAAACTTCCCAAATACAGATGTGCCAAGCTTGTAGCGTCATACCCAAGAAGACTTGAGGCTGTAATCGCTGCCAAAGATAATTCAACAATGTACTGAGTAAAGGGTCTGAATACTTACAGTTGAAGTTGGACGTTTACATACACCTTAGCCAAATACATTTAAACTCAGTTTTTCACAATTCCTGACATTTAATCCTAGTAAAAATTCCCTCTCTTAGGTCAGTTAGGATCACCACTTCATTTTAAGAATGTGAAATGTCAGAATAATAGTAGAGATCATTATTTATTTAAGCTTTTATTTCTTTCATCACATTCCCAGTGGGTCAGAAGTTTACATACACTCAATTAGTATTTGGTAGCATTGCCTTTAAATTGTTTAACTTGGGTCAAACGTTTCGGGTAGTCTTCCACAAGCTTCCCACAATAAGTTGGGTAAATTTTGGCTCATTCCTCCTGACAGAACTCGTGTAACTGAGTCAGGTTTGTAGGCCTCCTTGCTCACACATGCTTTTTCAGTTCGACTCACACATTTTCTATAGGATTGATGTCAGGGCTTTGTGATGGCCACTCCAATACCTTGACTTCGTTGTCCTTAAGCAAATCACCCCAACAGCATGATGTTGCCACACCCATGCTTTTTTTTTTGTCATTTAGCAGACGCTCTTATCCAGAGCGACTTACAGTTAGTGAGTGCATACATTTTACATACTGGCCCCCCGTGCTTCACAGTTGGGATGGTGTTCTTTGGCTTGCAAGCTTCCCCCTTTTTCTTCCAAACATAACGATGGTCATTATGGCCAAACAGTTCTATTTTTGTTTCATCAGACCAGAGGACATTTCTCCAAAAAGTACAATCTTTGTCCCCATGTGCAGTTGCAAACCGTAGTCTGGCTTTTTTATGGCGGTTTTGGAGCAGTGGCTTCTTCCTTGCTGAGCGGCCTTTCAGGTTATGTCGATATAGGACTTGTTTTACTGTGGATATAGATACTTTTTTACTTGTTTCCTCCAGCATCTTCACAAGGTCCTTTGCTGTTGTTCTGGGATTGATTTTCACTTTTCGCACCAAAGTACGTTCATCTCTAGGAGACAGAACGCGTCTCCTTCCTGAGCGGTATGACGGCTGCGTGGTCCCATGGTGTTTATACTTGCGTACTATTGTTTGTACAGATGAACGTGGTACCTTCAGGCGTTTGGAAATTGCTCCCAAGGATGAACCAGACTTGTGGAGGTCTACAATGTTTTTTCTGAGGTCTTGGCTGATTTCTTTTTATTTTCCCATGATGTCAAGCAAAGAGGCACTGAGTTTGAAGGTAGGCCTTGAAATACATCCACAGGTACACCTCCAATTGACTCAAATTATGTCAATTAGCCTATCAGAAGCTTCTAAAGCCATGACATCATTTTCTGGAATTTTCCAAGCTGTTTAAAGGCACAGTCAACTTAGTGTACTTCTGACCCACGGGAATTGTGATACATTGAATTATAAGTGAAATCATCTGTCTGTAAACAATTGTTGGAAAAATTACTTGTGTCATGCACAAAGTAGATGTCCTAACCGACTTGCCAAAACTATAGTTTGTTAACAAGAAATGTGTGGAGTGGTTGAAAAACGAGTTTTAATGACTCCAACCTAAGTGTATGTAAACTTCCGACTTCAACTGTATGTAAATGTGATATGAGGGTTTTTTCTTTTACATTTGCAACAAAATCTAAAAACCTGTTTTTGCTTTGTCATTATGGGGTATTGTGTGTAGATTGAAAACAATGTTATCAATTTTATAATAAGGTTGTAACGTAACAAAATGTGGAAAAAGTGAAGGGGTCTGAATACTTTCCGAATGCACTGTACACTCAGATTTACAGTATGTACTTGAAGCGTCTGCTAAATGGCATATATTATTTTATATTACCTTGTTGAAGCTCCGCCCGGTCGAGTCCTTGTCTTTAGGTAATAGCTCCTGGAGCTGAGCATCCAGGATGTCAACCAGCTGCTCCATGAGACGCACTGACGAGCTGACGTCACCGGCAAACACCGGGCCCTGTGTGTGGTGGGCCAGCTCATTGGCTAGTTGAGCCGCATTCTCCCCACTACGGATCTAGAGTTGGAAAAAAAAACTGCAATATTAAAGGCCCTGTTTAAGCTTTTAATTACTTGTTTCTTACTAAATGTAAGATCTGAATTTGATCACTCTTTTGTTGCTACCAATTTTCCTGCGCCGCAGGAAATGTAGATGAGCTTCGTGATTTACATAAATTCACTGAAAACCTGCACTAACACAAGGTTATATTAACAGTATTCCACTTTCCATGAAGCCTCATTTTGACCACATAATAGCCTAACCATCAATCAAGCAAAATGTTTGACTAAATGTTCAAATCCTGTTGCTGCAGGATTATTTAGCTGCGACAATACAGGTCAAATTAAGATCCGTACCTGGAATGTGGTACGTTAACTATGTGATAACAATGGATACTACTGATTTCATGTTGAGAAAGGAAGAAAACAGCACAGCAGGAAAGGTCTCAGGGTCATTGGTGCAACATCTTTGGATGATAGGCATCACAGTGTCAGACCAGTACACAAGTAATGTTTCACATACTGATTAAAACTCAAATCAATATTAATGCTGCTAGCTATAGGCCACATAAATTCACAGAACATTTTTGTTCATATCTAGGAGTCATTCAGTGGAATACAGTATGTATGGGCAAACCACGTCCTTAGTCTTGCAACCAACAAGGTGCCATACAAACACAGATACACTGTGCCCTTTCAGATAAAGTAGAGAAAAGTTGGTGTGTTGTTTTGTTCCTTCCCTCCCTGCCACCCAGGAGCCACACTGCTGACCAACCTTTTGTGCCACTTGAGCAACCCAGTGGGAGGTACAGTTGCTGAGGTCGGGCCCCTTTGGGTTCCAGGTCTCCCCTGCTACTGTGCAGAGGTAGGAGGCGATGCCTGGAGAAACACACAACAAACAACAGTTACACAACCCTCTATTGTCTGTTTTTATTGTGTATTGTATGTGTGCATTTATTTGTGTAACTTTTTGTGATGTTGCTGACCACTGCCATCTTGAATACACGGTTATATCTCTTGCAAAATAGATTGTATCGCAATGAGAATAGCCTGTTTAAATAAAGGTTCAATACAAATAAATTAAATAGAGGCCAGGCCAACTCTTTGTCCTCCTACTGCTCCTGTCCTCCTCTTAACTGGCCTCTGTAGAGCAGGACAAACAAATGACTGAGGACAGCCATGGTCAAAAAAAGCTATGATGTGAAACATGGCTGACCAGTAGGAACTAGGAAGATTGCCAGCTTTGTGATGTCTAACTGAGTGGACACTAGACTGTGAGAGATTCTCATACATTTCAGCTATATACTGTAGGAATCACTGTCTGTGTCCTTGTAGTCTAACTGCTGGTTGTCAATTAATAAGATGCTCTGTACTGCATATTTTACTGCATTCTTCTCAACAATGAACAGTGTTGCCATAGTGTTACTACCTATTTGTAAGCCTTCATGTCAGGCATTCCATACATTCCATTTCCATATTATTGAAATAACAATGATAAGTCATCCCCCCACCTACCGTTTCTTTTATCTTCCTATATTGTCTGTTTTGACAGTTCCGTCACGGAATAATTGATTATTTGGCACTATTAGCATATTGTAGGTAATGAACATCACATCTTGGCACCTTGTCTAATGTAAGGAAGGCTATATGAAAGACAAATGTGTAAACACACTAACATGTTCATACACAGAGGAACACATACCCCTGCGCGCACGCACCCACCCCCACACCCACACCCACACACACACCCTCCCGGTTCCTGATAGTACCTTTGGTTCCTTTGGGGCAGGGTCTCTCCACTGTGGCTCCAGTGTGTGTCTGGGGCCAGGAGATACCCCTCCTCATCGCTCCCTCACAGAAGCGCCTGGGGGTGGGAGGGATCACTGGGGTGGTGGGGTCAGCTGTACCATGGGGGTCCTCCGCAGGGTTACCCACCTCTCTCTCTCTCCCATCCCTGGGGTCTGCTGGAACCGTGGTGTTAACTGGGCCCTTGACTGTGACTGTGGTGGTGATGATAGTGGTGGTCTCAGGCAGGGCCGAGGAGACGTCTTCTATAGTTGGCACTAGGAGAAGATGAGAGGAGAGAGAAAAGTGATGGTTATAGCTTTAATAAAACCCAGCCTTACCTTTAACTCCCTTTCAGACATACATCAGATACATCAGTCAGCAGGGAAAGTTCAAGGTAAACTCAGCAAAAAAAGAAACGTCCCTTTTTCAGAACCCTGTCTTTCAAAGATAATTCGTAAAAATCCAAATAACTTCACAGATCTTCATTGTAAAGGGTTTAAACACTGTTTCCATTGCTTGTTCAATGAACCATAAACAATTAATGAACATACACCTGTGAAACGGTCGTTAAGACACTAACAGCTTACAGACGGTAGGCAATTAAGGTCACAGTTATGAAAACTTAGGACACTAAAGAGGCCTTTCTACTGACTCTGAAAAACACCAAAAGAAAGATGCCCAGGGTCCCTGCTCATCTGCGTGAACGTGCCTTAGGCATGCTGCAAGGAGGCATGAGGACTGCAGATGTGGCCAGGGCAATAAATTGCAATGTCCGTACTGTGAGACGCCTAAGACAGTGCTACAGGGAGACAGGACGGACAGTGGCAGACCACGTGTAATAACACCTGCACAGGATCGGTACATCCGAACATCACACCTGCGGGACAGGTACAGGATGGCAACAACAACTGCCCGAGTTACACCAGGAACGCACAATCCCTCCATCAGTGCTCAGACTGTCCGCAATAGGCTGAGAGAAACTGGACTGAGGGCTTGTAGGCCTGTTGTAAGGCAGGTCCTCACCAGACATCACCGGCAACAATGTCGCCTATGGGCACAAACCCACCGTCGATGGACCAGACAGGACTGGCAAAAAGTGCTCTTAACTGACGAGTCGCGGTTTTGTCTCACCAGGGGTGATGGTCGGAGTCGCGTTTATCGTCGAGGAATGTGCGTTACACCGAGGCCTGTACTCTGGAGCGGGATCGATTTGGAGGTGGAGAGTCTGTCATGGTCTGGGGCGGTGTGTCACAGCATCATCGGACTGAGCTTGTTGTCATTGCAGGCAAATTCAACGCTGTGCGTTACAGGGAAGACATCCTCCTCCCTCATGTGGTACCCTTCTTGCAGGCTCATCCTGACATGACCCTCCAGCATGACAATGCCACCAGCCATACTGCTCGTTCTGTGCGTGATTTCCTGCAAGAAAGGAATGTCAGTGTTCTGCCATGGCCAGCGAAGAGCCCGGATCTCAATCCCATTGAGCATGTCTGGGACCTGTTGGATCGGAGGGTAAGGGCTAGGGCCATTCCCCCCAGAAATGTCCAGGAACTTGCAGGTGCCTTGGTGGAAGAGTGGGGTAACATCTCACAGCAAGAACTGGCAAATCTGGTGCAGTCCATGAGGAGGAGATGCACTGCAGTACTTAATGCAGCTGGTGGCCACACCAGATACTGACTGTTACTTTTGATTTTGTTCAGGGACACATTATTCAATTTCTGTTAGTCACATGTCTGTGGAACTTGTTCAGTTTATGTCTCAGTTGTTGAATCTTGTTATGTTCATACAAATATTTACACATGTTAAGTTTGCTGAAAATAAACGCAGTTGGCATTGAGAGGACGTTTCTTTTTTTGCTGAGTTTAGTTTCAGTGTTTTAGTTCCACACCGCTTGGAGGAATGGCTGCTCTATGCTCTACTCTACACATCTACTGAGTCACGTCTACTGGAGAGTCTACTGCAGCACTCTACTCTACTCCTGCTCTCTCTGTTCTGTTAGGAAGAGGAAACCTGCAAACACTACACTATCTCAGGTATGTTCACCTTTACCCAATCCTGAAAATAACAGTAGGACAGGTAGTGTGGCAGCATCCGCCTGGCCTGGCTCTGCTTGTGAGTGATTTTCTTCTTGAGGGAGAGTCAGTACCTTGGGCTGATTTAATGTCAACAGGAAGACAAAGCCTGCCCACATTTTACTATTTTCTCCTCAATTTAATCTCTCCCCTTGATCAAGCCGGCGTAAGAAAACTAAACTGGAATACTCTGGGCAAAAACCATACATCAGCAATAATGCTCAGCTGCTATATTCAATGCACAGCTATAAAGAAAATCTGTGTGTGTGAGTGCGTGTGCGCAAGTGTGTGTTGTGGTCACCAAGAAGGTGTGGTCTCTAGCCTTTTCTACAGTGTCTACCCATTTGTGTGATTACAGTACTGTGAATGTACAGTAGAAGGATGTTTGAATGAAAGAGGGAAATGGGAAAATAGATATAGAAGGGTACAGAGAAAACAGTACATGTGTGCATGCTTGGCATGCATGTCTGTATGCGTACAGCCCGTGTATGTCCAACAGTGACTATGTGCATGATGACTACACTGGCTGCACTCCACACTGCCCTTTCCCACCTGGACAAGAGGAACACCTACGTGAGAATGCTATTCATTGACTACAGCTCAGCATTCAACACCATAGTGCCCTCAAAGCTCATCACTAAGCTAAGGATCCTGGGACTAAACACCTCCCTCTGCAACTGGATCCTGGACTTCCTGATGGGCCAACCCCAGGTGGTAAGGGTAGGTAACAACACATCTGCCACACTGATCCTCAACACGGGGGCCCCTCAGGGGTGCGTGCTCAGTCCCCTCCTGTACTCCCTGTTCACCCATGACTGCATGGCCAGGCACGACTCCAACACCATCATTAAGTTTGCCAACGACACAACAGTGGTAGGCCTGATCACCGACAACGATGAGACAGCCTATAGGGAGGAGGTCAGAGACCTGGCAGTGTGGTGCCAGGATAACAACCTCTCCCTCAACGTGACCAAGACAAAGGAGATGATTGTGGACTACAGGAAAAAAAAGAGGACTGAGCACGCCCCCATTCTCATCGACGGGGCTGTAGTGGAACAGGTTGAGAGCTTCAAGTTCCTTGGTGTCCACATCACCAACAAACTATCATGGTCCAAACACACCAAGACAGTCATGAAGTGGGCACGACAAAGCCTATTCCCCCTCAGGAGACTGAAAAGATTTGGCATGGGTCCTCAGATCCTCAAAAAATTCTACAGGTGCACCATCGAGAGCATCCTGACTGGTTGCATCACCGCCTGGTATGGCAACTGCTTGGCCTCCGACTGCAAGGCACTACAGAGGGTAGTGCGTACGGCCCAGTACATCACTGGGGCCAAGCTTCCTGCCATCCAGGACCTCTATACCAGGCGGTGTCAGAGGAAGGCCTTCAAAATTGTCAAAGACTCCAGCCACCCTAGTCATAAACTGTTCTCTCTGCTACCGCACGGCAAGCGGTACCTGAGTGCCAAGTCTAGGTCCAAAAGACTTCTCAACAGCTTCTACCCCCAAGCCATAAGACTCCTGAACAGCTAATCATGGCTACCCGGACTATTTGCACTGCCCCCCCCACCCCATATTTTTACGCTGCTGCTACTCTGTTAATTATTTATGAATAGTCACTTTAACTCTACCCACATGTACATACAGTGGGGAGAACAAGTATTTGATACACTGCTGATTTTGCAGATTTTCCTACTTACAAAGCATGTAGAGGTCTGTAATTTTTATCATAGGTACACTTCAACTGTGAGAGACGGAGTCTAAAACAAAAATCCAGAAAATCACATTGTATGATTTTTAAGTAATTAATTTGCATTTTATTGCATGACATAAGTATTTGATCACCTACCAACCAGTAAGAATTCCGGCTCTCATAGACCTGTTAGTTTTTCTTTAAGAAGCCCTCCTGTTCTCCACTCATTACCTGTATTAACTGCACCTGTTTGAACTCGTTACCTGTATAAAAGACACCTGTCCACACACTCAATCAAACAGACTCCAACCTCTCCACAATGGCCAAGACCAGAGAGCTGTGTAAGGACATCAGGGATAAAATTGTAGACCTGCACAAGGCTGGGATGGGCTACAGGACAATAGGCAAGCAGCTTGGTGAGAAGGCAACAACTGGTGGCGCAATTATTAGAAAATGGAAGAAGTTCAAGATGACGGTCAATCACCCTCGGTCTGGGGCTCCATGGAAGATCTCACCTCGTGGGGCATCAATGATCATGAGGAAGGTGAGGGATCAGCCCAGAACTACACGGCAGGACCTGGTCAATGACCTGAAGAGAGCTGGGACCACAGTCTCAAAGAAAACCATTAGTAACACACTACGCCGTCATGGATTAAAATCCTGCAGCGCACGCAAGGTCCCCCTGCTCAAGCCAGCGCATGTCCAGGCCCGTCTGAAGTTTGCCAATGACCATCTGGATGATCCAGAGGAGGAATGGGAGAAGGTCATGTGGTCTGATGAGACAAAAATATAGCTTTTTTGTCTAAACTCCACTCGCCGTGTTTGGAGGAAGAAGAAGGATGAGTACAACCCCAAGAACACCATCCCAACCGTGAAGCATGGAGGTGGAAACATCATTCTTTGGGGATGCTTTTCTGCAAAAGGGACAGGACGACTGTACCGTATTGAGGGGAGGATGGATGGGGCCATGTATCGCGAGATCTTGGCCAACAACCCCCTTCCCTCAGTAAGAGCATTGAAGATGGATCGTGGCTGGGTCTTCCAGCATGACAACGACCCGAAACACACAGCCAGGGCAACTAAGGAGTGGCTCCATAAGAAGCATCTCAAGGTCCTGGAGTGGCCTAGCCAGTCTCCAGACCTGAACGCAATAGAAAATCTTTGGAGGGAGCTGAAAGTCCATATTGCCCAGCGACAGCCCCGAAACCTGAAGGATCTGGAGAAGGTCTGTATGGAGGAGTGGGCCAAAATCCCTGCTGCAGTGTGTGCAAACCTGGTCAAGACCTACAGGAAACATATGATCTCTGTAATTGCAAACAAAGGTTTCTGTACCAAATATTAAGTTCTGCTTTTCTGATGTATCAAATACTTAAGTCATGCAATAAAATGCAAATTAATTACTTAAAAATCATACAATGTGATTTTCTGGATTTTTTTGATTCCGTCTCTCACAGTCGAAGCGTACCTATGATAAAAATTACAGACCTCTACATGCTTTGTAAGTAGGA